CGCGTTACGATAGTCATTTCCGCGTTGCGATTTTCATTCTCGAAACTATTCTTCTTCTGCATTACTTCAACCAAAAGACAAAACAAAGACAAATACTACCTTCACAGGGTTAAAGACTACACAGTTTAGCAGTATTGGCAGCAATCGAATGAATTTAATAAGAAATCTAAGTGAAATGGTTAATCTATTATTGAAATTACCAGTAAACTTATCATCAATTTCAATATGAAAAACCTAAAATAATGCAAAAAATTCAAAATAAAAATAATTAAAAAAACTAACCCTCGGAGGTTGATTTTCCATTTCTGAATGATTGTGAGGGATTTCTGACCGTGAATGGTTGTGAGGGATTTCGCAGGCGATGGGGACAGAAATCTTCGGAGATGGGGATTTTAGGTTTGAGGTTATGAGGTTATGAGTTGCGATTTTAGGTTTGAGGTTATGAGATGGAGATGGGATTGAGTGTTGTGATTTTAGGTTTGAGGTTATGAGTTGCGATTACTGTGGACGGTTCAGTTTCCGATATATTAAGAAATTCGTGTTTGGAATTTGAAAAAAAATACGCGTTAATACGAATGGCGCTATGTAAATCGCATTGTGATAGTCAGATTCGCATTGCGATTTACGTTTGCGATTTTCCTAATTTGCATTGCGATTTACGTATTCGCATTGCGAATTATGAAAATCGCAACGCGAATACGTAAATCGCAATGCGAATTAGGAAAATCGCAATGCGAATTAGGAAAATCACAACACGAATTTGGGAAATCGCAATGCGATAGTCAGAATCGCGTTGCGAATCTGGAAACTGATTTGCGATACCGGAGATCGCGTTGCGAATTATCGATCGCATTGCGATTTAGTTGGTCATTTTAGCAAATCCAAAAAAAGTTGGTTAAAATCGTATATTATAAGGCATTTTTTGTCACTGAGGTTTTTTTCTCTTTTTTATATATAAATTGATTAATTATTTTAACAAAATTTATTATCAAAAGACTTGTTAATGATTTTTGAAGAAAATTGGTAGAGGAATAATGTTTATTCTAAAATTATCACTTTTTGGATGAAATATATATATATATATATATATATATATATATATACTTTTTAGTCTTTCATTTCTTTCATTCTGATTTTGAATGTTATTATTAGTTGATGTTGGAAACTTTGTATGAAATTTCTACCATATCAAGAAAGACACGTACTACCAGCTCACCAAGCTTTTGGGTCTCCGCCCTTCCGTTAAGCGCCTCACGATGTACCAACAAGGTTGCTTCGCAGGCGGCACGGTGTTGCGGGTGGCCAAGGACTTGGCTGAGAACAACAAAGGTGCTCTTGTTTGCTCGGAGATCACTGCCGCACCTTTCGTGGACCTACCGACACTCACCTAGATAGTCTTGTTGGCCAAGCATTGTTCGGTGATGGCGCGGCTGCTGTTATAATTGGTTCAGACCCAGTGCTTCAAATAGAGAAGCCTTTGTTTGAACTTGTTTCAGCAGCTCAAACGATCTTGCCAGACAGTGATGGTGCCATCGATGGCCACCTTCGTGAAGTCGGGCTTACGTTTCATCTCCTCAAGGATGTTCCAGGGCTTATTTCTAAGAACATTGAGAAGAACCTAGTTGAGGCAGTTCAACCATTGTGAATCACCGATTGGAACTCTCTTTTTTGGATAGCTTACCAAGGTGGTCCAGCGATATTGGACAAAGTGGAAGCCAAGTTAGCCCTTAAACCCGAAAAGCTTCAAGCCACATTCTTTCAGAATACGGCAACATGTCAAGTGCCTGCGTGCTGTTCATTATGAATGAGATGAGAAAGAAATCAAAAAAAGATGCGGTCCGGACCACAGGTGAAGTGCTCGAGTGGGGAGTCCTATTTGGGTTTGGACCAGGGCTCACAGTTGAGATCGTGGTGCTCCATAGCATCCCTACTTAAAAATGGCCTTGCATCATTGTTATTATTATCATCGTTGTCATCATGTTATCTAATATAAGTTCCTTGCAATTTTATTTGAGTTTATATATTATTTCCTTTGGATTTATATGTTTCTTATAAAAGATTGATGATGTAGGTTTGCTTTAAGGCCAATGAAACTCTAGTACCAACTTATATTGTAACAATATATAGAAAGTTCCAATTTCATCATCGTATGTGTTGCCTAGACTTATCATGAGAAAAGGGAATGAAGCATAAATGAGAGGCAAATCAAACGAAACCAAACCAATTCCTATACAAGAGATAATTTATTAACATATCAAAATCTATATATACTCACCTAATATTTTAAATATGACAATTAAATGTGTATACTCCGATTGGGTATTAGTGCTGGATACTGGTGTGTCTGAAATGAGTATGGTCAGATTTTTACTAGTTTTTCCATGTATTTGGAGGATACTTGGAGGTCATATTCGATACCAGTGTGTCAGACAGGTATTTCAAGAAAAATAAAGCGTCCCAGTGACGTAGGTCTGTTTTTCCATTCAACGTTGCTTTGGTTGTTAGAAGTAAAGCCAGTTTTATTTTTTTTCCTGCTTCCTTTGATTGAGTGTTTGCCTCTAGATTCAGTTATCGTTCTATGGTGCCTACAATTTTAAAAATGAACGTGGCCCTTAAGCATATGTATCACGCACAAGTTTGAGTTGCAAACTTTTCATTAACTAATAGCCATAGTTTCTGTGCAGGGGCACTAGGGAATCAACTCCTTGCAACTTGATAAGGGACCCAGAGATTATAAGAACCCCTGGTTCTTCTTCTTCTAGGCCTACCATCTCAACAGAGGCTAGCCAGAGAGCACATAATTCAATGCGCGGACATCTCCCGACGGCACATGAAATGGATGAGTTCTTTTCAATTGCAGAAGAAGAGCAACAAAGACAGTTCATTGAGAAGTAAACTCCACATTTCTTTGTACCTCTTTGTTAATACTGTTAAGATCTGATGAAAGATGTGGGTTTATTTGCAGAGACAACTTTGATCCCGTGAAAGACATGCCACTCCCAGGATGTTATGAATGGGAGAAATTAAACTTGTAGATGACATCATTGTTGCATAGGACTTGATTTCCAGCCAATTCTCACATGATTTCAAAGTTAGGCTTCTTTCAACTAACAGGAATTAGTCTTTTAGCTGTAAAGGTGATGGTGTTAATTTCCATTTTCCATCTCCATTAATTCACTTGTAAAGAAAGAATTAGGACTTAAAAAAAACATGTAGACTAATGGTCTGTAACATGACAGAGGTAATGAATTACACAAACATTAAAAATCAAAGTCCTTTGTCTAACAGATCATCTAGGAAGAAGGGAAGGGAATGAAGGCTAGGGTTTAGAAAATTTTAGAACTTGCAGGGTCAGTTAATTTGGTACATAATTTCTTATCTTTTGTACTGTATTTTGGAATAAAGATGGTTCCTTTTCCTTCTCATTATCTTTTCCTGTATCTTCTCTTATGATCTTCACAGGTAGGTTTTGGTTTTTTTTTTCAAGTTTTCCTTTGTCTTTGTGTGGGACAAAGGAATTTTGATGACAATTTTCATCAACTTAAAAAAGTTGTTGATATTCGAGTTCTAATAATAAAGTTGTATTTAATATTTGAATAATATTTGAAAGATGGTTGAGGTATTTATTTCAGGTAGTGGTGGGGTATGCTTTTGTTGGTGGTAATGTTTTGGAAGAATCTTGTGTTCTCTCTCATGTCTACATTGCATTTCAAACTTCTGCCTGCAACTTTGTTCCGTGCTACAAAAACTAATCTATTAAATGAAAGCATAATATATGGTTGAGTTGGTTAGTTGAATTGAATTTATTGATCGTTTTCAAAGTCCCCAATCACATATTTGCATGCAGACATCGATCAATCAATGTGATAATTTTTGTTCGATTTTTTTCTAGATTAGATTAACGTATGATATCAATGCTCCTATTTAATCGATTCTTGTATTAAACATTCTAGGATTGAACTGAAGTTGATTTTGTGTCTTGAGTGGATGCCCAATAGTTTACATTTGTTATTCGATTTATTGATTTACGACTAATCTAATAGTATTCTTTTTGTATTATTTGGTAAAGTGATGCTTTTTGTATTATTTGGTAAAGTGATGGAAGATTCAATTATTAATGCATATATTTCGAATAATTTAATTTCTAGATCCTTTAAATATATATTAGAAATTAAAATAATCTAAATTATCTTCAACTCTACGCTTTGAATCTTAAATAGACAATTATGATATTTCAATAATCATAAGTTCAAATATATATTTAATTTGAATATCAGTGAAATCTTAGCCATAATGCATCTTAGGTTTATTTTCAATTATTAATCAGCTTAAGATTGGTTAAACTCTAACCTTTATGTACATCAGATAATATATTTCAATTCCGTCAAGGTAAAACTTCCGCTTGGGGGCGGAGAATAGTTGGGGACACGAAATATATAATGGATAATCGGGGTTTAGTCCTTGAGTTATTAAAAAAATTTAAAATTAATCTCAATTATAGTTTGTTATATATATTATTCCAACAAAATGACATTTTGATTCGTTTTTAGTATTGAAATAGACATATTAAATGACGGATATAGTATATATGTCAGTAGCCGTCAATCATGTACTATATAGTTAACGATTTAATAATCTAATTGTATAGTTGAAACAAAAATTAGAGTTTATTGTTATAATTAAAAATAAAAGAATTCATCAAGTGATATTAATGGTAACATAAATAAAAAACTAAATTCTTTAAGTAAGGTTATAAGTCCTGACGTTTATGAACAATGAATATTTGTAAAGTTCGACCTAGAATAGTCTATAATAGTTTGAATATCAAAGATTAAAAAAAATAAAAATAGTTGTTATCTTATTTCACCAAATATTTGGATAAAAATTTGAAAAGATAAATGTTAGAGATTGATTTTTTATTTTACTTTTAAAAAAGAAAAATCCTTATAGATATAATTTATTATTCTGATACTTTTCAATTATTTTGCATCGGAAATAATTTTCTTTCTACGTCGTCCCTTTTCTGTTGAGCGCTTTTACGGATCGTCGAAGGTTCTCTTTTTTTCAGACGAAAATACCCAATTCCTTTCATTTTCTTCTTTTACCGACGAATCTCCACAAATTATAGAACGTTAGTGTCTTTGATTTTGGAGAATGGCGACGGCAGCGGCGACGACGGTTAGCTCCGCTGGAGGGTTACTAGCGATGCTTAATGAGAGCCATCCCCAGTTGAAGTTCCATGCTCTCACTAATCTTATTAGCTTCGTTGATCAATTTTGGCCAGAGATCTCTACAAGTGTTCCTATTATGTAAGCCTTATTCTTTATTGTGGTGGTCCTTTTGTGATATTTTCTTTCCTTCTGTCTGTTAGGTTTTGGTTGTTTTGAACTGATTGGTGGGTGGGAAAATTGAAGGAAACGAAGTGTAGAAAGCCTCTTTTTCCTGATGTTTTGTTTAGCTACCGTGGGAAAGATTGAGAATGTGGTTTGAATTCATAGTTTAAGTGCGTAAAATTTGGAATTTCAGAGATTTCCAATGGTTTTGATTTTTTTCTTAGATTTTAGGAGGCAATCGGGAAATTTGTGATTCACCTAAATTGTAGCAAGTCCTCTATGTGATTATTGATTGTTTTACACAAGCTCTATGCTTTGTATTTTTGCATTTCATAATTAGGAACTAGGAAGCATTTGCAGCAATTATTTTGTTATTCACACACAAAAAAAAGCAATTATTTTGCAATGTAGGTAATGCTTTTTCACTTAGTTATACATTTTTGGAGAATACAAACAATGGTGGCCATGATTTTTGAACTTATGCTAAATTAAAGTCAATGTTCACTTGGAAAATTTCTTATATCTGTTTTGGACTGGGGGAAGAAAGGGTGGTAATTTAAAATAAGATGAAATAGTGCAAGTTGTCTCTGATTTTTGAACAAAACCAGCTTATTTTAAATTTTATCTGGCACTATTTCTTCCACTCTTAGATAGTCGTATAAGTTATCTGGCCTGAAATGGTAGTAATTTTGTTAAAAAAGAAGTGCGCTAAATGAGTTATGTGAATAATGATATTATGCTTGTGATTTATAGAGAGAGCTTATATGAAGATGAAGAATTTGGTCAGCATCAGAGACAACTTGCTGCTTTGCTTGTCTCAAAGGTTCTCCCCTCGTCCATCACAGTTTGTATATGTATTAATGTGCATCTTAGTTATTGAATGTGTATAACTAGCACATGCTTTGGAACTTGGAAGGACGATTTCTTTTAAAAAATGGAAAAACAAAAATCTGAACTCCATGATCTTCATCTGTGCATCTCTTACTTTTTTGGTCATGTTTTCTTAACAACAGTTCTAATTATCAAATTTTAATGATCCAAAAGAGTAGTCCACCTTTTAGAGACTAAACAAAAAAGAAAGGTTAATATACTCTGTATATATATATATATAAACTAATGTTAATATTATAATTTTCATTAGATACATTTATCATGTTAAGATGGTGCCTGCTGTCATGCAGTAAACTTTAGTTTGACTGCATTTACAATTTTTAATTGAGAAGTAATAGAAGTAGATGTCCACTCTCTGCTTTCATTTTTTTAATGCAAATTTGACTTTTTTGACATTTTACTTATTTGGGCTACGTTGTTTTTACACTCAGGTCTTTTATTATTTGGGGGAGCTCAATGATTCGTTGTCTTATGCTCTTGGAGCGGGCCCCCTTTTCGATATTTCTGAGGAATCTGATTATGTTCATACTCTCCTTGGTAGCAACTTCTATTCATTTAATGACTGTTTGATCAATTGAAATTCATTACAATGTTGCCTTTGGTTGTATTTTGCTGCTAATGAGGGTTTCAGAGAAGCCTATGTTTTCACTTATAGTTGAATATATTATATTTCATGTTTTAAATTTGATATTCGATGCTCTTGACTCCATCTGCTCTTAATTTCAGCCAAGGCAATAGATGAGTACACTAGTGTTCGGTCAAAGGCAGCAGAGTCTAGTGATAAAGCAGCAGAGATTGACCATAGGTTGGAGGCGATTGTGGAGAGAATGCTCGACAAGTAATAGAGCTTTTTTCATACATGATGAAAATATTTGGATTTTGTCTATTTATCTTACTCTTCTTTAATTTAGTTGTATTGTTGATGGAAAATACCAACAAGCGATGGGAATTGCAATCGAGTGCCGAAGACTTGATAAACTTGAGGAAGCAATAACGAGGAGCGATAATGTTCATGCAACTTTAGCATATTCTACTCACGTCTCTCATTCATTTATATATCGCCGAGAATATCGCCGAGAAGTAAGGATGTTATATCAGTAGTTCATAAAAGATATGTACTTTGTATTAAATCTTTTGCTACTAGTTTTTTTGACATTCTTTTATTAGATCAGTTTGTATTCATTTATTATTTACCCTTTTCTTGGAAATTTCCTACAACCTTGTAAATTCTGCCAGATTCATCATGTTGGCCAGTTATTCTTTGGTTCATGCAGGTGCTTCAGCTTCTTGTTAAATTGTACCAAAAACTGCCTTCACCTGATTATTTGAGCACTTCTCAGTGTCTCATGTTCTTGGATGAACCTGAAGGTGTTGCAAAAATATTGGAGAAACTTCTCCATTCTGAACATAAAGAGGATGCTCTTTTGGCTTTTCAAGTTGCATTTGATCTTGTGGAGAATGAGCATCAGGCATTTCTCTTAAATGTAAGAGATCGGCTTCCTGCTCCCAAATCTCAGCCTTCTGAATCAGTACAGCCAGAATCCAGCGACCCTGCTCCTGTTCAAAATGAAAATTCTAATGCTCCAGAGGATGTTCAGATGATAGATGGTTCTTCTGCTTCACCAACAGATGTGCCTGCGGTTGATCCTAAAGAAGTTATGTATGCTGAGAGGCTGAAAAAAATAAAAGGAATTTTGTCTGGAGAGATGTCAATACAGTTGACCCTACAGTTCTTGTACAGTCATAACAAGTGAGGCATTGATTCCTTTTATACCATCTTTTGGTGGAAATAAATTCTTATTGTGTTTCTTTATTGTATATACAAGGTATTAACTGGTTTCTGTTCATCTTAGATCGGATCTATTAATTTTGAAGGCTATAAAGCAGTCTGTTGAAATGAGAAATAGTGTTTGCCACAGTGCTACAATCTATGCAAATGCTATAATGCATGCTGGAACAACAGTTGATACGTTCCTGAGGGACAATCTGGTAAAATAATTATCTTACTGTTTCCTTTTCACTCTTTTGGACTGTATACTTACTATTACTGTTGTGATCATCAGGATTGGCTGAGTAGAGCCACAAATTGGGCCAAATTCAGTGCAACAGCTGGGCTTGGTGTTATCCACAGAGGACATCTGCAGCAGGGGAGGTCTTTGATGGCTCCATACCTTCCCCAAGGTGGTGGTGGTGGTGGGAGTCCATACTCTGAAGGTGGTGCACTGTATGCGTTGGGTCTCATTCATGCCAACCATGGTGAAGGCATTAAGCAATTCCTTCGAGACAGCCTACGCAACACTAATGTTGAGGTATATTGACTTTCTTGCCCTACAATAGCTTCATTTTCCCCCAACGAATAGGCCTTGAAGTAATGAGAGATACTGACTTTATATCTACTCACAAGAAAACATGCTCATCAGCTTGTAATTTCTTACCTCTATGCCATTTGTGAGGATTTGTCGTATATTGTTTGATAAAATAGCATCTACTTTATTTGAAATAAATTACTGGATACCTTTTCTTCAGGTTATCCAACATGGGGCATGCTTAGGTCTTGGTTTGGCAGCGCTAGGAACTGCTGATGAAGAAATCTATGATGAGGTCAAAACTGTGCTTTATACTGACAGTGCTGTTGCCGGTGAAGCTGCTGGCATCAGTATGGGATTGCTTATGGTTGGAACTGCAAGTGAGAAGGCAAGCGAGATGCTTGCTTACGCACATGAGACACAGCATGAGAAAATTATCAGGTAAAGTTTCATATCTTGGTATTAGACCAGGCTTTATCCTGGTAGTGTTCTTTACTCCGCATGTTTTTGCCTTTTGGTTTCAGGGGTTTAGCTTTAGGGATAGCTCTTACAGTTTATGGAAGTGAAGAGGAAGCAGATACATTAATTGAGCAGATGACTCGGCATCAAGATCCTATACTACGCTATGGTGGCATGTATGCATTAGCATTGGCCTATAGGGGGACTGCAAACAACAAGGCTATTCGTCAGCTCCTGCACTTTGCTGTATCGGATGTGAGTGATGATGTTAGAAGAACTGCTGTTTTAGCGCTGGGGTTTGTTCTATATTCAGAGCCATCACAGGTAGGTGCTGTTTTCCTTCATCTGTCAGTGGGATGTTATTAATGTTTGATGCACCTTTTTACCCATAATTTTTCTAACTATAATTTATCTTTGGATCTGTCATCGGGCTTATGAATTTCTGAAGATCTCACAATTTTGTCTGGTCAACACTGCAGACTCCTCGAATTGTCTCTTTACTGTCTGAGTCTTACAACCCACATGTTCGATATGGTGCGGCACTTGCAGTGGGCATTTCATGTGCTGGCACAGGATTGAGTGAAGCCGTATCATTGCTAGAACCCTTAATATCGGATGCTGTTGATTTTGTTCGTCAAGGTGCCCTCATTGCGATGGCTATGGTCATGGTCCAGATCAATGAAGCCTGTGATTCACGTGTTGGAACATTCAGGTCCTTTTTCTTCCTTTCCTTTGCATGTTTAATTGTTGTACATATATATTGCTTTATTTAGCTAACCCTTTTTTTTTAACTCCTTAATCTAGGCGACAATTGGAGAAGATAATACGTGATAAGCATGAGGATACAATGAGCAAGATGGGAGCAATCTTGGCCTCTGGGATCCTTGATGCTGGTGGGAGGAATGTGACCATAAAATTGCTTTCTAAGACAAAGCACGACAAAGTCACTGCCATTGTCGGTCTTGCGGTTTTTAGCCAATTTTGGTACTGGTATCCCCTAATCTATTTTGTGAGTTTATCGTTCTCACCCACAGCTTTTATCGGACTGAACTACGACCTGAAGGTTCCGAAATTTGAGTTATTATCCCATGCAAAACCTTTGCTTTTTGAGTATCCAAAGCCAACTACTGCACCCACCACTACGTCAGCTGTTAAACTCCCAACTGCTGTCCTGTCAACTTCAGCAAAGGCTAAAGCTAGGGCTAAGAAAGAGGCAGAACAAAAGGCTAATGCTGAGAGATCATCTGCTGCTCCGAATACTGGAAAAGGCAAATCATCTAGTGAGAAGGATGGGGAAGCTATGCAGGTAAAATTCATCAAGTTATCCTTTTGAACAATGTTTAAATCTTCTCTTTTATTGTATAGATCTATGTTTAATTTGATTCAGATGTGTTGAATATATGTGTCCAACACTGGTATTTTCAATTTTTTGTTTTTCTTTTTATGTATTTTGAAGCGTTTTTGGAAGATCATATCTTCCTATTTTTATCAAAATACTTGTCTTAAAAAAATGAAGAGTCTAAGAATAGGTTTAGATTTTAGAATTCAAGACTTTTGGGGGCTTAGTGGAGTGAGCAGTGAGCATTATTTCAGTAACTCATTTGTGTTACGCTGGGATTGGGACTAAAATTCAGTTGAACTCTAAAATCAAGAGACATAATTTCTCTTCGAATACTTTGTTTTAATCTATGTTACTTGGATGCGAGTGTTACATCCGGCACAGTTATATTCACTTATTTTCCAAGTTTTCTAATGTATTTGCATGGTCTATGGAGGATCATATTTTCATATCTATATTTTGATATGCGTTGGATATGGTTGCCGGATACAGTTATTTATAGAAAAATTAAGAATCGGAACAAAGATTTTCATTGATTGTTTGAGATTTGCTGAGTAGATGATCGATCAAAATATTTACTAACCTTTCATTGATGCTTTATGTTGAGCGCAGGTTGATAGCCTTCCAGAGAAGAAAGTAGAACCTGAGCCGGAGCCGGAACCGACATTTGAGATTTTGACCAATCCAGCCAGAGTAGTTCCTGCTCAGGAGAAGTTCATCGAGTTTTTAGAAGACAGCCGATATGTGCCTATGAAGCCGGCACCATCTGGGTTTGTTCTCCTTAAAGACCTGTGTCCTAACGAACCAGAGGTGCTCTCTCTAACAGATGCACCTGCATCGGCGGCATCCCCAGCTGCAGGTCGATCATCGGCTATGGCGCTTAATGACGAGCCTCAGGTCCCGCAGCCTTTTGAGTACACATCCTGATTTTTCCAGGTTACAGAACTGAACAGGGCCAATGATAATTCCAGAATCGTGCAGTGCTTCACATTACAACTTTGCAACAATTCTGGAAACTTATGGTAGTTTAGTTCATGGCGTGTTATATATCTATTGATTGATTGATTTTCTTATTTATATAAATATTTCTTTATTTTCAAGTGTTCTATTGATCATATTTTCCCATCGTCTCCTTTCATTAAAAAGGTTTAACTATTATTCTCCTTTTACGGTATTTCATGAAGCATGTAAGTAGGTTGAATATATATGATATTATATGAACACACTGAAAAACTGTTGTTTTTGAAAAGCAAACTATGAGACACTCAAATTCTTTTCAAAGTTTAATGATCAAGAGATTCAAGACGAGTAGAATTAAAGTCGAGTTATGAAATTTGTAGTTTACCCTACCATATTTTAGCCTATTTTATGTATTTTGGCCTGGTGGAATCCCTTTACTTGGTGGCCTTGGTGGTATAGGGAAATTTGGTGGAATCGGGGGTGCAGCTGGAATAGGTGGTTATACAGGTATATGTGGCCTAGGTGGTGGCGGCAGCGGCGGCGGAGGTGCAAGTGGTCTTGGTGCTGCTTTCCCATCCCCTTGAGCTCCTTAGCTAGTTTAGTTATGTTTGGTGATGTCTAAGTTTTTTCTAGTGGTCTCTTCAGGGACAACGTGTTATGCTCATGTTCTGTGCTTTTCCGTTAATGTAATTGTATTTCAATGTTAAGGATTTAAATTACCATTACAAATGTGGGTTTATCGTAAATCGTGGTAGTGAATATATATTTTCTTTTACATGATTTTAATGACGCGAAGATAACATATTACGAAGGATAAGTTCACAAAATGACAACAACAAAATTTTTTATTTAGTTATATTCATTTCGATTATGTAATATGCAATTGAATTAATCAAAATGTTATATTATATATTAATCGACTTTCTTTCCTTTTTTTCAATAATAATTTTATATATCATTAAATTTTGTGTTGGTAAAATTCTGTAATGCAAAGAAGTTCTTTGTATAAAATTCTGTAATCCAATTTTAGAAATTACGTCCGTTCGAATAAAACTACTTATAAGACAATAACCACACATCATAATAAATTTATTTTATTAATTTTCATTTATTCTTTATTTTATTAATTAATAGTAACGCCTTTGTTTTTACTGCAGTTATTTATAGCACATTTTAACCCGTTTAATTATCAACTTAAAACCAATCAATTATGATAATATTTGATTAATATTTATGGAAGATGAGTTAACATAATTATCCGTTTCTTAAAGAAGATGGATTGAATGTTTCTTATAAGTTGTATAGCATCATTGATTTGGTTTTCAATTACGTCGGATTAAAGGTATTGCAAATTATTCAGTTAAACCCATCTTTCATTCATGCAATTTTATGTTTGTCGAGACTTGAGTTTAAATCTTTTTACCCTTAACTCTGATCTTTCTGTGTTTGTAACTCTTAAATCAATAAGATAATGATATTCGATTTTTGTTTAATTATTTTCTAAAAAATATATTTTTATCGATATGACATATATTATATCACATCATTTTTCTTATATGGCGTGTTACGTTAGTATTTTACTTATATTGTATTCGCCTAATCAATAAAAACGTTTTAACAGTTAATCAACAAATAGATTTCATCTAAACATATATCATTTTAACTCAAAATAAAACCCTGAAAACTAGAGTGCTCCAAGAAAAAATGACCAGTAAAGAAACATTAAAGGCAACTTTTAACATCATGACTTTAAAAGTTTAAATAGTTTCTTAATTTTCATTTTTCTTAAAGATTAAATAAGTTTTCAAATATTTTAATAATATTAGTTAAACTTATTTATCATGTTAAACTACCATTCACAATGATAATGTTATAACGATGAATAACAATTCTTTATTAACGAACCCTATAATAAATAAATTAATTAATTAATGATACAATACATAAATAATCATTGATTATAAAATATTGTTTTATCTATTATTAATTATAAAAGTGGTAAAGAATGGCGACTATCGTAAGTGCCAACTCACGTTGTTGGGAAGATAAGATCAACAAAACAATTTTAAAATGGACCACTTCAGTCTTGTCGCTTATGGGTGAAACTTTGTAAGTCTTTTCTTATCCTTTTTATTGGCCCACATCCAGAAAAGGAAGTAATTCTTATTATAAATGAAAAAAAAATATTCATTGACTTAAAAAATTAATTTTTTATTCGATTTAATATTAAACATTTGATTCGAGTTCAATTGATCAGTAATTTAATAATTCTTGTTCAACTTTTAAATAAATAAATAAAATTTAAATTATAAAATAAGATTTATGTAATTTTTTTTAATAATTTATAGATTGATTTTTATGTTAAAGTCGAATCATTTAACTCTGTATAATATATATATATATATATATATATATATATATATATATATATATATGGTAAATGATTATAGAAAGTTTTTTAAATTAGAATCAATTACTACCATAATATTATAAATGTTTATAATTAAATTTAAACATAAACTTAAATAACTCAACTCGATTTAAATTTTATAAATTCGAATCAACTTGAAAAAAAATCAAATAAAATTGAATTATAAAATAAAATTTATCAACTTAAATAATTCAAATTTTTTTAACTTAAACCAATAGAATGCTCAACTTAAATTTTTTTATTTTGTTACTCCATAAAAGATAATGATAGGATTACACATAGATTCCATGTGCAGAAAATAGCCCATATCTGTAAACATGATTGTTTCCATTCCTTCTTTAATGTTTAAGGTGGTGTTTGATTCGTTGAAATATTTATGAGGGAATTGGAATATGTAAAGGAATTAGAATTCAATTTTATATTCTGTTTGGTTCGCAAACATGTCAGATAAATTTGATTTCAGTAATGTAAAATGACAAAATTGCCCTTCTTATTTTTTTGTTTTATTTTAGTTTATTTTACAACTTACATGTAGTAATATATTATAAAAAATTAAAAAATATTAAAATTTCATTTTATTGATTAATTATTCATTTCAATAAATTATAAAAATCATGCTAATAAACATTATAAGATAAAATCATCGCAATCAAAATATGTTAATAAGTTACGAAAATATAAAGCAATATTTCGATACATTCCAATCGGAGTATGTTAATTAGTTACAAAAAAATATACCAAAAACTATTTTTATTCAATATAAAAATTAGAAACTCGACCCGACACGACTCAAAATAATAATAAAATTATTTTTATTCAATAAAAACATCGATTTAATTGAAAAAAATTATATATAGAGAGGTATTATTATAATTATTCATATATATAAGGTAAAATTATATATATTTTTTGGGTCGGTCCGGTTTTTTTCATCCTAAACCCGAACCCGAACCGACCTGACCCGAATATCACACTTAAAAAACATGACCCGACCCGAACAAAATAAAGTTTCATCCGACCCGAATATATAAATTAGAAATTTGACCCGACCCGAAATAAAAAAAATTATTTAATAAAAACAGTGACTTAATCCGACCCGACCCGAATTATATATATTTTCGGGTCGGTCCAGTTTTTTTTCACCCTAAACCCGAACCCAACCCGACCCGAATATTACACTTAAAAAACCCGACCCGACCCGAACAAAATAAAGTTTCATCCGAACCGAATATATGAATTAGAAATCCAACCCGACCCGACTCAAAATAATAAAAAAATATTTTTATTTAATAAAAACATTGACTTAATCCGACCGACCTGAATTATATATATTTTCGGGTCGGTCTAGTTTTTTTCACCCTAAAACTGAACCTGACCCGACACGACCCGAATATCACACTTAAAAAAACCCGATCCGACCAGACCAAAATAAAGTTTCGCTCAACTCGACCCGACCCGAATATATGATTTAGAAACCCGACCCGACCCGAAATAATAAAAAAATATTTTTTATTTAATATATGAATAAGTTACCAAAGAATTGATGATGGTAGCATGGTCAAATTTCAATGTATGGAATTCACTTTTCCTCATTTGATGGAATTAAATTCCATCAGAGATTCCAAATCCCTTGAAAAACATGGGAAAGTGGTGAAATTGGATTCTAATTCCCACCAATTTCAAGGGATTCCATCCAACCAAACGCCACCTTGAAATCCCTTGAAATTAGGGAGAATTAGAATCCAATTCCACCACTTTCTCATGTTTGATTTAAGTTTTCAAAGGGAGAATTGGAATCTAATTCCATTAAGGGAGGGAAAGTAAATTTCATCTATAACATGAAGGAATTGAAATCCTTTGGAGTAGGGAATGTGAAATTTGATTATATTACCCTCATCAATCTTTTGGTATTTGGGTCGATTTTTTTAAAAAAATTTTGGGGTCGGGTCGAGTTTTTTTAAGTTTGATATTCGGTTCGGGTCGAGTCGGGGCCGGGTAAGATTTTTTTAAGTGTGATATTCGGGTCAGGTTCGGGTTTAAGGTGAAAATACCCGACCCGACCTGAAAAATATATAATTTTACATTATATATTTAGGAATAATTACAATAATACACCTCTATATATAATTTTTTTTAAATTAAGTCACTGTTTTTATTGAATAAAAATAATTTTTTTATTATTTCGGATCAGATCGGGTTTCTAATTCATATATTCGGATCGGGTCTCGAGTGGAGGTTCCCTTGTTCTCGGGTCGGGTAGACCAAAAACCCAACCCTTAACCATCCTTAATTAAAATGATTTTAATTTATGATGTTTATTAGTATAATTTTTATAATTTATTAAAATAAATAATCAATCAATAAAATCACCCAATACACAATGATTTGTTCATTTAGTATATATATTTCCTTTCATGTAATAACTTTAAACCTGGAAGCTACAGTGCTCCCCTCAAATTACAAGTATTGATGCTTCACAAATTGCATCAACGGATACCATCATGCTTGCCTTTACAAAGTAAAACTTCAAAAAAGAAAGAAAGAGAAGTTACATAAACTGCTTCAACTTGAAATCTTGTAAGGAGGAAGAACAAGTTGTTTCCTTGAACAACAGAGAAGAGCTAAATCCCAGCATGGAGCTCTGGAGATCAAACTCCAGAAGGTTATCTTCCATTTGAAGCCCTCCTATTACAATGGGGCTACTCTGTTCCATTCCTCCATCCAAAACCCCTAGGCAAATGCTCTCTTGGCTTACTTTCACCATTGAATGTCTCCCTTGAATCCTCCACTTCACCATCTTACTTTGCAGAACCAGATCGATTTCAGGCACCAAAGGGCCGTGCTTGGAGTTCCTAACCCCTTTGTAACTAAAGCAGAATCCAAATGGAGCCACGGTTGCCACCCTGGTCATGTTCATCGAAGCGGCTGCCTCGACGTACGCCTTGGAAAACGTTGCATAGATTGAGCTTTCCATCATGGCATAAGGCACGGTTGTGCTTAACTTTGCCTCTAATTTGCCCAACCCCAATCTTCTTCCATTGATCTTGATGGACTGAACATGAATGGAGTAGTCGTCTTGTTTGATGACAAGGGGTGTGTACGTTAACGACCTTGTTAATTTGGACCCGAAAAGGGTTTCTCCACTGCCGGTTAATAGCACACCATTTGATGATGATAAGCAAAGACTGAACTTATGTGGGTGCCCGATTGAGGCACTGAGTTGTGACGGCAGTGAAATGGAAGTTTTCCCTAAACCCACCATCCCCTTGGCACCACTTGCCAAGCCTTGCAAATGGAAAGTCGGTACACAAGAAAAGATGAAGTAGTCAACGGTTGTGATTTCGCCTACCTTTAACGCGTCAACTGAATCGACGGCTACGATATCCTCCACCAGTTCCCCTACTGAGGCCAATCCCGTCACAACATTGTTGGGGAACACATTACAATTGGTGTTTAAAAGACAACTCTTGCTTCCCGGATCATTGAACTTTGCTCTCGAGCAGTTGACGGAGCAGCTCGGGATCAACCTGTTTGATGAAGACTTCTGTCCGGAATCGCAATCCATCCAAAGAAACGAACCGCCGAGATCAACCACGAGGTCGGTGCGTCGCAATGGAGTGCCGTGAGAAATCCTCGCAACATACTGAAGAGTTGCAGCGTCTTTAACGACGGGAAACAAAACGAAATCTGATCGAAAACCCAGAACAGGGAACGCGTTTCTGAAGCAGAGAACGCAAGTGAAAAAGAGAAGAAAGCAGTGAGTGAAGGAAGCCATGGGAGGACTGGAAATGCGTTTGTATTCTTAAATATGCGATGCGATGGTTCGCCGCGGTTGGATGGAAGGGAAAAGATTGATATTTGATCTATTGTAGGTTTAATGCGTGGTAAAGGGCAGTGGGGATGGAATATGTGGGACCCCCGCCATGTTTATCCTATTCTGAGTCTGACTCACTCGGCTTTCTTTTTCTTCATTTCTATCGTCTCCATCTACACCACACATTTCTTGGTCATTTCCATTATGAAGTCCTATACTATCCATTGAGTTATAGATTTAATCATTGTATTCTGATTTAATTAATTTTAGTTTTCCTATTTTTTTAATTTTAAAATTTTGATTTTGAATCCAACGCTACAGGCCTACAAGAATAATATATTATAGAAATTATAAATAATCAACTTAAAGAACATAAATTAAAAAAAATAATTTACGCATATTACATAAACTAATAATATAATTTAATTTGACATATTTAATTGCTATTATTTTAGTCAAGATCAAAGTTTTTAAAATTTTAAAATAGTTAAATTAAAAAAAAAGATTTAAATCCGTAAAATATAAAGATTTTATTAACAAGGACTAGCAACGGAATTTGACCAAGTGTCGAGATACAAATAAAATTCCAAAGAAGTCCGTAGATTAAAATAAAGCCGAAAGGCACGTTTTTATGTGCTGGAATTTTTATTGTTAGAAGCAAGCCACGTGCACGGGAATGTGTAAACTACTAATTTTCTTTGGTCAGATTATATTAAAAACCCATATACTTTAATCGGAGTATCAAATTAATTTCTTTATTTTAATTTCAACAATCTTCCTCTCCTTTCACACAGAAAATAACCATTTGATAACCAAGTAAAAGCCCAAATGAAAAGTAAAGCCAAATCCCTTGTATGAACAAAGTGTATAATCTCAATTAGACACTCTATGGGGTCATTTAGTTTACACAAAAGATTATTATTATATTCTTGTTGATGGGATTAAGTTAGGTTCGTCGGCTGTTGACGGTTCACCCCTTCTTATAGGTTAAGAAATATGTAGCGGAAAAGAACAAAGGCAAATAATAATAATAATAAAGTTCTTGAGGGGAACACCTATGCATTGCATCCTCCTCCCTGTTCAAAAAAAAAAAAAAAACTTATCTCTAGAATAATCTTGGATTTAACATAACACACTTTTCATGGCCAATCCTACAAAAATGGGAAGAGAGCTAATTTTAGAAGTGACCCTATCTATCTCCATGCGTCAGCAACAATATAATAAACACAGATACATATATTGTTTTTTTTATAATTGCAATTATCATCATCAAACTCAATTCAGCTTTTTCTTGACTTGTTATTTACCTTTACCTTCCATTTCACAGCTTTATGGCCAACATTTGATCACTTTTAAATCACTTGACAACACCAAACCCTGACACAAAATTTGAAACGAAGAACATCACTCAAGAAACTAGGCCACGGTAGAAAGTCATTTGCAATCAAACTAACTGAAACGAATTACGATAATCACTGAAAATGCCAACCTATAATTATCGCTCGGCTTTCTCTTGAACTAGAGGCCTATGTGGCTTTGGAGCTGAAAGAAACCAAAATTGTTTGAGTTAATAGACTAGGACATTGTAATTTCCCCCAATGCAGTGAAGCAGAAATTGCATACCATTAGGATTCCCCTGTTCGTAGAAGCTTCGGAAAAGAGAGACTGCTTCTGAGGCCATTAATCCTCCAGTACATTTGAAACCTTTCCTTTGTGGAATTTCATCACTAAAAGAAAATTGGAGAAAGAAAAAGAATTTCATTTGAATTACAAATTGTTCTGATAAACTGAAGAGGATGAATGTAGAAAGAAATTCCAAGCATTAATGGCTTCTCAGTTTCCACATTAAAGAAAAAACTATATAAAATAAATCTAGTGAAGAGACAATATGTTATATGAGCATATTATCAAGAAATATTGCAGTAACAAAGGTGGTATTCCCTTCTAAACATTATTCGTGATGATGAGTATAGAAGCACTTCCTTTTGGACCGTTTCCTTTTCCAAGAGGGGAAAAAAGGAGAAGACCTTCAGGATTTGGTCTCAAATTAAAGTGGGACCAAAAACATGTACAACTTCATTTCAATGAAAATTATGAAATAGGCAAGAGACAGTTAACAATCAACCAAAAGGTTAAGACATCAGCTTTTAGGCAATCCAATGTTGTAAAAAGTATATTTGACGAATTTGAAGGGCATCAGTTAAGAATTAGATGAGTTGCCTGCATTTGTCACGTATTGTGAATGTAACAATCATTGAGACAAATTCTTCTGCAGCTATATGCAGGATATATAGGGAAATAGAAGTGTTGACATTGTGGTCATCAACATCATACTGACTATATGAAAACATAATGAGGACAGAGTAAGCTAAAAAGCAATATGCTAAATGGGAATGGTGATTGAAAGGTTGGAAAAACATGGACAAAACTAGTTTTTTTCAGCAGAATAGATGGAAGTCCTTTGAAAAGAGGGTAGGAGTCCTCAAAGAGGTGGTGGAATTAGAAAGGAAGTACAAAAAGGGGGGTAAATACTGCAAACATTGAGGAGTATAGTCAAACTTCAAGGAGAAGCTAGAAAAAAGGATAGCAGTCGAGTAAAAATACCTAAAAACTGACAACAAAGCCATGGACATGGAAAGCTAGAAAAGGTCAAAATACCAAAACATGAAGTTGTGTTAGGTTCCTAAAAAAATTCCTACTTATGCATTTATAAAACAAAAAGTAAAAGTGATTATATGCTTGTATGAAAATTACAAATACAGTTTTGCACAAAGAAAGAACTATATAATCCTAAGTGTGCAGACAAGATCTTTTCCGGGAGGGGTGTAATGTTACGTTAATTATTAGGAAAAGAATATTTTATTTTTAGAGAAAGAATACCTTATGTTTAGAAAAGATATTATTATTAGCGAACTATACAATCCTAAGGTGTTAGGAGGTTTTATTCATAAGTATCTAATGTCATTATGAGTCTTTGTTTATTTAGAGCCATTCATTTTAATTGTCTTAGTTTAGTCTTTTATTCAAACATGTAAGTCTATTTAAAGAGGTTGATTAGCATCAATAAAGTCAAGTCGGAACTTTAAAAAAAATTAAAAGATCTTGGTCTCTCTTTTTACAAATCTTGAGGTTTCAGACTCTCTTTGATGTGAGATGGGATGCAGGGTGGTATTGGTGGGGTTTTGAGAGACTCCTTCAGTTGCACTTTAGTTAATTTTTCCTCTGCAGTAGGGCCTGGTCCCCCTATACTGACTGAACTGAAAGCTATTATGAAAGGATTGGTCTTCTTTTCTTCCGATTGGGCCAACAAGGGGAGACTTATTTTGGAAAGTGATAGCAAATGTGCAATGGATTGGATTTTAAAACTGCAAACTGCCCCTACTCTTTTCAGTCAATTGGTGGAGGAAATTAGAGTTCTTGCTACTGCCAAGGGCGTCGTTCTTAGATGGGTTTCTAGGAGTTGCAATATGGAGGCCGACAGGTTAGCTAAGCAGGGGATCGGTTGAGTGTTGAAGGCTTAATGTTGAACTTCAGGAACTAGCTGATGTTGGGTTAGGCGGATGGGTTTTTGTTTCCCATCGCTATTTGTATTAATGTCATGTTTTATTTTCGAGGGTTAGAGTGTTATGTCTATCCTGTGTTATTCAGGGTCAGAATGTTAGGTGTATCTTATGTAATCCTGGTTTATTAATATACTGAGGTGCTCTTTTCCTCCCTCAATTAGTTGCCATCCTGAGTCAACTATGAGGGAGGTTCCTAACGAGACCTCCTATTCCTATAAAAAAAAAGACTCCCTTTGATGTGGAGAGGTTTTGGTCTCCCTTTGACCAGCTGAATTATCAACCACCATAGGTTGTTCCAGGAATAATAATAATAATAATAAAGGCAATTGCTTCCGACATTCCCGTTAATGGTCCAGTGACTTGGTCCATATCCCAGGACCGTAGCAAATGTATGCAAATAAAAATTCAGAGCTTCATAAAATAATAAGTTGAAATCCAACTAAATGAGGTCAATGGAAAAACAACGGTGATGAAAATAAAACAAAACAAAAAATATACATTTGCATGAAAGAATGTATTCTACACAAACCTGATGAATGGCTCTGAGAAACTGGAATGCAAGGATAAAATTGATCCGCATCCTCCAAATTTCTCATTTGCACAACCATAATATACTTCCTTTATGCCTAAATGAGTAATATGAGTCAATAACCAGACTAGCGGAAAAAAAAGTAATGAAAATAAAATCTAATCAGAATTATATATTCCTATATTCAAGTATTATAATAGGAAAAGAATTATACCAAGAAATGACAAAGCTGCAGCACACATTATGCATGGTTCACATGTAACATACAAAACACATTGTGAAAAGTTTTTAGCAACTACTGCTTTCGAAAGCCCATCTCTTTGCCACTTCTCCAGAAGAATGTCTATGGCTTCCATTTCTGCATGCCTTGTAGCCTGCACAATAGAAAATAAAACCGTGTAATTTATATGAGCTGAGAAGAATGAGGCAACATTGAATAATAGTCCACTGACATAAAATAATTAAACTATAGCAGAGGTCTAGAGACTGTAGAAATGACCATAAGTATGATAACTTTCTTGACTTCTGGTATAAATTGCATAAAAACATTACTATCATATGCGCCAGCCCACCTACACCCCATAATTCTGAGGTGGGGTTCATATAATAACTTTCCCTTGTAGGAGGAATTCGTAAACCACAGAAAACACATAAAGCAAATGCTCATAGTAAAATGCTCATAGTAAAATGATCATATAAAAAAAAGAGAGGCTTGTTTGTATTTCTTGTCTGAGATATTCCACAAAGGAGCACACAATTTTTTTTTTTTTGATAAGAGTTTCAGGCCTCGTTAAAAACCCCCTTCTTGATTAATGGAGTTTATATGAACTCCTTAATCAGTGGAAGGAGGAAAAGAGCGCCTTAGGATTTTATTGAACCATAAAATTACATAAGATACAACCATCGTACACCCCACCAACCAAATAAACTTGAAACAACCATAAAACACCCGAAATATAAGACTAGAATAGAATCAGCCAATTCCTTCTTTAGCTAAGGCATCAGCCTCTAGATTGGCTGACCTATTAACCCATCTTACAACACCTTCTAAAACATTAAGCCTATGAACAATATCTTTGATCAAAAACGCATAAACATCAGGAACTAGATCCTCTTTCTTAATCCAGTCTACCGCAACTTTGCTGTCGCTTTCAATAATCAGACGACCCTTCCTGTCTCGTAAATTCGCATAGAACATTAGACCCTTTTGAATAGCTTTTAATTCCATAAAAGTTGGAGCTCTCGGACCGGCAGATTCCTTGAAAGTACTTAAAGTCGAACCCGAGGAGTCCTTTAGAACACCTCCTATCCCACTCTTCTTCCAATCTCTTGTAGTAGCTGCATCAACATTTAACTTTACAAAACCTTGAGGAGGAGGAGACCAAGGAAATATAGATACAAGCCGATTAGGATACAGAGAGCACAAATCCCCTAATGAAGGGTCTGAAATAAGAGAATCCTTAGGAATAGACACCTCTTTGTACTTAGCAAGGAACCAAGAAGCTAGTCTAAACCTTGCTAGGAAAAAATATTCAGCCAAATCCAGCTTTCCCCCTTCAAACACAATGAGATTCCTTACTTTCCAAGTAGTCCAAATAACTGCCCCAGGAATAAAAGACCAAATTATAGAAGAAGACTTCAACTCAGCCCAAGCAAGTAGGAATTTTTTCGCATTAAAATGCAAAACAGACTTAATCTTCCAGAAATTCAGAAATTTGTTCCAAATCATCCACACCACCGAACACGTGAAAAACAAGTGCGATGGAGACTCCACCTCTCTCTTACAAAGAGGGCACCTAATGTCTACAATTCCTTGAATTCCCCTTTTAACAAGTTCTGACCTAACAGCCAGCTTCCCTAACACCACCTGCCACATAAAGGACTCCACTCTAGGTGGAATCTGGCCCCTCCAAATAATCTTCTTCTAGAAATATACCTCTTCCGAATCCGAAATAATGGTTGAACAAATCTTAGTGCCAGATTTAACAGTATATACCCCATCTCCAATACCTTTCCACATCACCCCATCACATAACTCCGTAGATAGAGAAACAGAGGAGATAGCATTCATCAAGTTAACCCACTCTTCTACTTCCCAGTCGTTTAAATTTCTTCTAAACTGCACATCCCAACTTCATCCATATGAGTTGTAATTCCCAAATTCAACCAGTTTACCCATTCTGTTTGTGGAAATGGAGAACAATCGAGGGAAAATAATTAGAAGAGGAAAGTCCAACGCCCAATTATCCTGCCAGAACCTAATTAATATGCCATCCCCAACTTGGAAAGAATACAAACTTCTAAACTTAGAGCCAATATTGTCTTCTTTAAAGTGATTCGAAACCACCGATCTCCAAATCCAAGATACTCTTTGTGGGACTTTGTTGTCAAACATTAACCAAGATGGATCCATTTTGTATTTAGAACAAATGAATTCCCTCCAAACAGACCCCCTTTCATTAGCATACCTCCAATACCATTTTGCTAGAAGAGCTCTGTTCATGAAACCAAGGTTTCTAACACCTAAACCCCCCTCGAATTTTGACTTGCACACATTCGGCCAGTTAACCCAATGTATCTTATTTTTACCTACTCCCCCACCCCATAAGAAATTCGCCATAATGGAGTTGAGAGATTTAAGAACTGTAGCTGGTATCTTAAATAAAGATAAATAATACGTCGGGAGCGAACATAGAACCAACTTTATTAAAACCAACCTTCCTGCTAATGACAGTGAAGCAGCCTTCCACCCCGCTAATTTATTCATAAAATTATTCACCACCGGATTCCAAAGTGCTGTAGAGTTCCTAGTAGCACCCAAAGGCAGTCCTAAATATTCAGAGGGAAAACTACCCACAGAACATCCGATAGAGTTAGCCCACTGCTGAACTTCTTCCTCATTCATATTCACACCAAACAGTTTACTTTTCTTCAAGTTGAGTTGTAAACCAGAAACCACTTGAAACACTCTAAGCACCCTCTTCACATTTAAAATCTGCGTCTTGGATGCACCACAAAACATAATGAGATCATCCGTGAACTGTAGATGAGATAGTTTTAAAGCTTCAGCACTCCTTCCTAAAACCAGTCCAGAAAACAGACCCTGTTCCACAGCTTTCACAATTAGCAGATTGAGAAGTTCTCCAATAAAATTAAACAACAGAGGTGATAGAGAGCACCCCTGTCTAAGACCTTTAGCCATTGCAAATTCCTCAGTAGGAACTCCATTCACTAAAACAGAAACTGAAGTTGTGGTTACACACTTTCTGATCCAACCTCTCCACCTGAAACCAAATCCCATTTTCTCCATTACTAGAAACAAAATGTCCCACTCCACCGAATCATACGCTTTCTTGAAATCTACCTTGAGAACACAACCTTTAAGACCATTTTTCCTCCAATAATCCACCCCTTCATTCGCAATTAAAGAACAGTCCAATATTTGCCTCCCTTGGGTGAAGGCAAATTGAGTAGGACTAATTAAGTCTGAAATGCAGTTCCTCAACCTCCTCGATAGGCACTTAGATAGGATCTTATATAATCCACCAACTAAGCTAATAGGCCTATAATCATCAAGGTCACCACTGTTCAAAACCATAGGAATAAGAGTAATAAAGGTATGGTTGATGCCATGATCCCAATCTTTCCCCGAATAGAAATTGAAGAAGAACTTCATAATTTCTCCTTTAAGAACATGCCAATATCTCTTGAAAAAACCCAAATTAAAACCATCCGGCCCCGGGGCTTTGTTGCTATTACAAGACTTTAAGGTCTCCTATATTTCCTCTTCAGTAAATTCTTTCTCCAAAATTAAACTCTGCTGAATCGAAATTCTGAAAAAATTCAACTCGGTTTCTTTCACTTCTAAGGTCGATTTGTCATTAAAAGCCTTAAAGAAGTGATCTTTGACAGTGGCTTTTATATCCTTTGGGTCTTGAATAACATTACCCTTGCAAATAATAGCATTCAACGCATTTCTTTTCCTCCTAACCGAAGCACATGTATGGAAGAATCTGGTATTTCTGTCCCCATCTTCTACCCATTTGGATCTAGAATTCTGGAACCAAATCTGCTCCTCTATCTTATGCAACTTCCATAATTCTGACCTTAACTCCTTTAACTCAGCAGCTTTCTCATCATAAGAACCATCTTGCTGCTGTTGAACCTCCACTTCTAATTTTTGAATCTTCAATTCTATATCTGAAATTAAAGCTCCAGGAAACTTTCCTCTCTTCCCTGCCCAATTTTTAATGGCAGTTTTGGTTTTTTTCAGAATTTTGAAAATTCCAGCATTCATCTGTATCTCTTTGCATTCTTGAATTGAAGAACTGATCACATCCTCAAATCCTGCTTCATCCATCATATAGTTAAACAGTTTAAACGGCTTTTTCCCCCAATTAACACCTCCATTCTCAATAATTACTGCATTATGATCTGACAATGATCTTGGCAGCAAAGACTGTGTTAAATCTGGAAAAGCTGCCAAGAATTGGCTATCAACCAAAAATCTATCCAGCCTTACATAGGTCGGTGAATCTTGGTTATTACACCAAGTAAACCTACCTCCATTCAATGGCAAATCGATTAGACCTGTAGTAAGAAGAAAACGACTGAAAATCTCTAAAGAATTCCTGTTTTGGCCTCTACCAATCTTCTCATCTTCCTGTAGATACACATTAAGGTCCCCTCCAACACAAATAGGCTCAGAATGTCCTCCAATGAACGTGCTTAATTCTTCAAAAAAACTCTCTTTTTCCTCCTCAACCGAAGGACCATACACATTAATGAATCTGCAACTGAAATTATTTGCCCGAAATCTCCCCGATATAGCAATAAATCTTCTAGATGTACACTGATTTTGCAACTCAAATACGTTATCATCCCAGAACATCAGCAAACCCCCTGACGAACCAACCGATGGTGACTCAATAACCCCTTTCAAATTATTTAACCCACTCCTCCTCAAAAAAGACCTTTGAATTTTCTCCAATTTCGTTTCCTGTAACCAAAGAAATTGAGGACAATATTTGGAAACTAGCCTCTGAACAACCCTTTTTTTCTCTAATCTACCCAATCCTCTTACATTCCATGTTATTATAGATATCTTTAACATCATCATAAAGGAATCAACCAACTAGTCCCCCCGCAAAATCCTCCTGTTTGTCCATCCTCAAGCCTTTTTCCAGACTAATAATCTTCTCCAAAAAGGCTTGTTGTCCTTGTTTAAAGGAAATACCCAACAGCTTACTTATCTCCCAAGTAACTAAAGCTTCATCCAATAAATCTGAAAAACCAGAAGAATAAGCTGTTGAAATGCTCACTCTTTCTAAAGCTTCCCTTAGCAAATGTCTTCTAGCTCTTCTGATAAAAAAACCCGATTCAAAGCTGTGATTATCACCCATTAACTGCAATCCTTCAACCACCCTTTCCACACTCATATCCCCCGAATTCGATCCATCATTCACATCCTCACAACCCTGAAACTCTGCATCCACTAACAAGCTATCCAGTTGATTTCCTCTGGAATTCATATTTCTCCAGTCCCTGACGATTAAGGCACTATCTTTCTTAGGCTTAAAATTCAAGATACTTCCCATCCAGTATTTTCTGCCCCTACACCTTTTGTAAACCCTTTTATAACTTTGCTTTTCCTTTTCTCTAACGGAACACTTTTGGTGCTTAACGAACTGTCAGACTTATAACCCAGTCTACCCTTAACTTTGCTTCCTGAATTATCAATGGTAGGCTTTATCACCCTTAACTCAGAATCCTTGGCTCGAAAACCACCCTGCTCAATTATCTCTGGATCTGACCTCCTCCCATCTTCTCTGCTAAAACAACTTGACTTAGCCAAATCTTTATCTTGAACCATTTTCCCAAATTTATCAATTTTAATTTTTGGCCCAGCAAGAATTATCCTCTTTACGTTAGGCCCAGCAAACTCATCTTCTTCTGAATGGACTTCAGACCCAGCAGCCGTCATTTTTGAATCTCTCAATCCCAAACCTGCAAACTCACCCACTTTGACACTCCCTCCATACTGCACAGTTGACTTTCCATTAATGTCTGATCTATTTTTTGAAATTCTTCGAAACTGATTCTCTCCACCAACTCCATCAAGCCTGATAGCTGCGCCCTGTTCCATCCAACTGTCCACTCTCTGACAGTTTTCTTCTTCTGATCTAGCAGAATCTTCCTCATTCTCTGACCATATCCTGTCTCCTTCGTTCTCAGTCATGAACGCTCCCAACTTTCCTTCATCGAAACTGACCACCGGAGGATTTGTGGAAAAGAAAATAGACTCATCATTCGTCGATCCAATCTTCATTGTTACTTTAAAAGATCTTCCATATGATCCAATAGTAATCTGATCTGGAACATCAAAAGGACTAGCCACCCTAATTAGCAATCTTGCCTTTGTAAGATCTTCCCTGTGTTTAGTGTCATCAAAAATATCTATAACCCTTCCCCATCTCCCTGCTAACCTTTCAAGGAAGGATTCATTCCAGCATAAAAGAGGTAACCCAAAAAACTCCACCAAACAAAAAGCCATAGGAACACCATCTTCGTTTAGTAATGGCTCTAAACGATCAAACCAAAATTGAAGATCTTCTTTCTTCTTCATCCAAGCATCTGACATTTCTTCAACTGATTTAAAGATTATTACACAAGAATTCCAGACATACCCCCATCTAACAATCTGGACGTCATAGCCTTCATTAACTAAAGCATTATGAACTAATCAGGGAACACACAATTTTTAGTTTTGCTCTCAGCAGTCCACATATACAAATCAGGGAACTCCAACATGTACAGACCAAAAAAAAACCTTTCTTGTTACTATTTCAAAATTTAAATTACAAAATGATATTTGAGGATATTGTATATTCTTGGGGCCGAAATAAGCATCCTGGAGAAAGAATTGAATGCTAAAGATGCTAAATATGGGCTAACATAAACAAATAGTAAACAACTTTTGGCTAAAAAAGATAAGATCATTTTCCATTTTACATCTCTGTAGATCATCTGCTTACACCAGATGGAAGTTAAACAGAGAAAGATTAAAAAAGAGACCAATGGGTTTTTCTTAGTTAGACTTAGCTAAGAATGTTAAGTTGCTTGCTTATTCAAATCTAACTAATTTCAAGTATACTTAATGACTTCTACATCTTTAGATCAAATTGTCCACAAGAATAATCAACAAAATTAAATTGTTTCAGTTTCTAGCTAATTAATAAGTTAGTCACTTGCAACAACCAACATATTACTATTACAAATTTACAATAGGATGAAAAGCATATGAAGACCAAAATGATGCACAAGTATAAGAATGTATGCACACGAGAGACACTTTTTTAAGTACTAAATACCTTCATAGAGATTTGTTCAACCAACATGATACAAGAGAGATCAAGGAGGCATAACATGGAAACTTCAAACTGATCAAAAAAGGGGGAGGAGATTTATTTACATTTCGTGTCTCAGTGGTTCGATTTCTACCCGAGGCAATGACATTCCCATCCATAATGAATACGCAACTAATCAAAAAAACACAGTGAACAAAATGCATTTAAATTTTGTATTAGGACTGAGTCACCATGTTGAGCAAAAAAGACAATTTAGTTTCAAAACTAAAGCAGAAACAAAGATAACGGAGAACTATAGAAGTTAACTGATATCTGATAAAGTTTACAGCAGCTTGAAATCAAAGTGTAGTAATAGAGGGTTTGCAACATGGTTTGAAACTTGGTACTCAATTACATGGATGTTAGCAATTGCTTGTGCTTTAATACCCGCAACAATGAAGAACTTAATCTGAGTCTATGACAAAGTGCAACCAACAAAAACTAAGCACTTGGTGATTATGCCAATTTATAAATCTGGTGAGACAAAAATTACGCGCTTGACAATGATGTTTTCTTTTCATCTTAAGTTTATAACTTGTTCTTTTTAATGTTCAAACCACCATGTCCTTTAATTTATATGTAAATAGGCTAAGGGAGACAAAAATTGATCCAACAGATGGAACCTTTTGCACTCACAGTATAATATATAGAAGCTACACTCAAATTTCATCCAACAGATGAAAAAAGTAGGCTAAAGGAGTTTGTTTTTTTTTTTTGATGAGATTAATACTTACCCAACAGGCACTTCAAGACTCTCCATAGCAAGTTTTGCCTAAAAAAATACAGGATCACTTAGCAGCATTGCAGAAATTGGATTACAGAAAGGGAGAAGATAAAGGATCGAGATTACCTGGTGAATTGCAAGTTCCATGTATGCAAGATTATCACTTTCCATCTAAGGCAATAAGAACAAAAAAGTTTGTCGCAAGGAAAGTGAAGCAGAAGCTAATAATGACAAGGAGAAAAAAAAAGATGGATTTAGTGGGAATGACTGGTAGTAGCTACTAAGAGAAGGGAAAGAAGGTAACTTACTGAATCCTGCAATTCCAAAACCAATACTCAAATACCTAAAAAAGGTAAAACCATAAACAATACAATACATAGAACAAAATACATAGGCAAAAAGAAGGAAAGAAGAGAAAGAAAGAAAAGCCATCTCAAATGTAATGTGTTGGGGGAAGGCACCAAAAGAAGAACTGAACATTTAGGATCTGAAAGAATTGACCTAAAATAATTATAAAAAACAATTCAAGTGCTGAACAGAGCTGCAACTATTCCTGTTAAAACTACTAGATACAAAAAAAAACAGCAAACAAATGGTTCTAGGGCTGTTATGCAAAATAATGAGAAAAAGCATGCTATAAGTGATGACAGTATCTTTAGTTAATTTAGTATGATATGGTTAAAGTTGAAAGGTTATGTCATCATGTAGTAAATAAGAGGTTTGTACTCAGTACACCAACTCTAGATGGGATTGCATATACAAGTATGCCTCCAACAAGGATAAGTTCAGATTTTTTTAGTTTTTTATTATATTTAGAGGGCCAGAACTCCATATATCCGTTGGTCTATTAATTTCTGTGCTCTAAAAACATATCTAGGCTATTAATTTTTAGTCTAAAAAAACCAATGCTTTAGTCAATTGGTTACTACACTGGAATAAAATTGGTTATTAAGAAACAGACAAATTTATTCACTGAACCTCAAATTCCAGGATTATACCAATTTTTCTCCCCTATTTTGCAATGGAACTTAATGCACTCACAGTATATATAAGTCCTTTTTACATGTAAGTTTGATGTCTTTCCCTTGGCTTACATCAATGGCATTTGGTACAAAACAATGCTTAATAGCAAAAGAAGGAGAGAAATCCATGTGTACCTAAACACCAGTAGCAGTGAGCACTGAGCAGAAAAACGGAAGCAAAGGCCAAAGGGTAGTAGTTGTAGCAACTGGCAGTTGGCAGAAATGAGCGGAAGGAGAGCAGATGAGCAGCAAATGGTTGAAGTCGACCGCCAGCAAACGGCAGCTAGGTCATTCAAGTTACATAAATTAATAAACCCAAAATTGAACTATAAACGATAACACTCAACATTGTACCGGATTTTGATAAACCAATTAGCAGGGAGGAGCAATCGGTTTAATCAGTCAGTTCAGTCGAATTTTTCATGTAAACTGACTTAACTGACATTACTAATAGATAACTGACCGGATCAAAATCATTTGTCTAAAGCAATCAAACCGAAGCGATATAACTTGGGCGGGTTATTTCAGTTACCGAAGTTTTTTTTTTAAAATGGATTTTCTTGCTACTGCCAGAATTTATTCCAATATGCATGATAAAAAAACCCGACAATTCATCAAAGCTAAGCATTGATACAAATAGAGAGATCCCAAATTCATCAAACCCATTTCCAAGTATTAAAAAATAAAAACATAAATCAAAACCCTTAACTAAATTTCTGAACACAACCAAAGAAACAGTCGGGCAAAGGGAACATGTTCTTTAAGAAGGACATAAGATATAAAAATTAAGAAGGCTTCATCAAAGAAAAAATGGACTAAAGAGAACATTACCTTAGAAACGGGATTATTGAGAACCAGCGGCAAGCAAAGGAATTGTTGAGTTGAGAAGCGGCGGCCACAGAGGGGATACGAGTACGATAGAGGCGGGGCCAGAAAGATGAGGAGAAATTCGGTGAGAATTGAGAGTGATGGTGTGGGAATCGGGCTGGCAAGATGGCTTAAACCAAAGTTTGGATTGGGTAACTTAAATGTTAAATGGGTTTTGAGTTTGGTTGGATTTTTGTTAAAGGTTAAATGGGTTTTTCTTTGTTGTTTTATTTCATTTTTTTTTCATAACTAAATTTTAGTTGTTGCGGCTGATTTTAGCTTATAATTTTTAAATAAAATATTTTTAGAAAAGTCTTATAATTATAATATAGTGTATGTTCGAAATATTTTTAATAATTAATAATATATACACTCTATAAATGTAGTTGCACGAATTTAAAATTTCTAATAAAAATAATACTCCCTTAAACAAAGTTAAATGTTCAAATCCCAATATTATAAATGAATATAATAAAAAAAAATACTCAAACTTCTAATACAAAGTGCATCGGCGGATAGAATACCACCAATTGTACTACATGTCGTATGGTTAATTTAGTAAAATTAACAATTACGATTTAATCATAATTTGAGAAAACGAAATAGAATTATCGACGGATTAACAAAATTAGCATGGAACCTACCGTTCGGACTCCACAATTTTGAGGATCCTCTGATGGAGATAAAAAAACCTGCTGATGAATTAACGAAGAGGAAACATAGTAAACTAGTTTAGACCTTTTCTACATTTGTGTATTCAATATATACACACCCGCGTACATACGGAGTTAGATAAGTGCTGCATTCCAAGTCTAAAGTTGGTGGCGAAAGTCATAGTTAAACAAGTCCTAATCAAATGCACAACGCTTAGCAATTCCCACGTTTACCCTCCCAAAGCCTATCAATGTTTAAATTTTAGCAGAAAGAATTATTGATTGAATATCTCACAATAAATTAGTGATTTTACATATGCAAATCAAACGCTTCATCCTCTCACAAGAACAGGAAGAAATATTTGCTGAAAATGCAAGAGAAAATAGAATAGTCTAAAAGAGGTATGACAAAATTAAGTGACCCAAGATTATTGATTTTATCACCTTGAACAAACTGGTTCTTCTTTGATTGTTTCCAACGAAGGCTTTCTTGACCTACAAACAGATAACCTGTACTTAAATTCCTCGATCCCTTCCAACCTCAATTTCGATCCTCCCATCGAACTTTCTTCCTCCTTCATGTGTCCATTGGATATTCTCTTGGCCAATGCATTCGCTGCCATGAAGAGTTGAGCCACATCGGCTGCCGTCACCACGGAGTTCAGTCTCTTCATGGGGAACATGATGAACACGTTGCCGAGTTCTAGCTCTTCATCGGCACTCAGGGCTGAAAATCGTTTACCTACGTGAAGAGACTGAGAATTGGTGATGAAATAGTTGGGACACTCCAACATAAGCTCGGCGGCCTTAACGAGTGGCGAAACTACCGGATTTCACCGCGGGGAAAGACGACCCTCGCGGCTTTTCCGCTCTTGATTAAAGGGGTGGCCAAGGTGTAGGAAATTTAATTCCCCATGTTTTGTTTTGTGGGAGAGAAACCGTTATGGGGTTGGTTAAAGAGAGAGGGAGGAGATATTAATATGAAGAAAGGTATGATACTAGAAAACAATGGAGTTGTGGGGAGTCGGTCATGACATATATATATGTTGAAATTGTCATAATAATTATATTGGTTTTAAAAAAAGGGGACGCGTTAGGCTTAATTTACAAGAGAAAATGGGAGGAGGTTAATGTTTTGCTCGTGGAGGAGGAGTACTACTAATGTGGAATGATGTTATTTACGTGTGGGACCGCCTCAGCAAACTGCAGCTGCTCCTTTTTTTCATTCCTCTACACAGTTCAAATATCTTTGGCCCCCATACCAGGTTTCTCCGCTTTATTATGTTTTTGTTTGATAAATTATTATTAAAATTTATTTTTTATTTTTTAAAAAATATATTATCATCTAAATTAAATTTATCAAATAATCTAGTTAAATTTAGGATTTAATTTGAAGTGAAATATTAAGTATATTTTAAATTTTAAATTTTAATTCAATACTTAATTTTTAAACACTTATATTTTAGTTTTTTTTATCAAATAGCATCTAAATTAGAATCAATCTTTTTATATATTATTTGGTATATTTTAAGAGAGTGGCTGGTTGGATGAATGTCGTGAAATGATGATCACGTACGGTAGTCTTAATATACAACTAAAAAAATGTGTTATCGGTTTTGTTATTATTTAAATAACAAAACCGGTAAAAAATTACCGGAAATATTATTATTTCTATCGATCTTGTTATTTTTCTACCTGTTTTATTATTGTTTTATACTTTACCGGAAATGTTAAATAACATTGATGTTTTATGTAGAAATAATAATGTTTTAGGTATGTTTTTACTAATTTTTTTATTTAAGTAATAACAAAACCGATAACATTTTTTTAGTTGTAGATCAAGAGTATTGTACATTTCAAAATAAAATTATCATGTTTGGTTTTGAACATTCTCGAAAGAGGTGATATAACATTATCAGTAGTGATTGTATTAGGTAGATAATATAAAATTAAAGATAGGAAATAATAAGTTTTTTATATTATGTGAGTAGATCATAACCCTGTATGAGATGGGATTCAATTAAGCAATATACAACTAAAAAATTAACATTAATCTATGATCGATGGATAAGTAAAAATAGACGACTGAGATTAACAGTAGAGAATAAGAAGATACTTACTAAAAAAATAAGGAGATAATCTTATTTGTCTATTTTTATTCATACAATGATCATAAATCAATGTAAAATTAAAGTTTTTTACATTGTGCAATTGGATCCTAACCCTATACAAGGTATGATCTCGTTGCACATTATAAACCTAAAAAGTTTTAGACTAATTTATAATCATTTGATAAATGAAAATAGACTGTTGAGATTAATAAAGGAAACAATAAAATATTCACTAAAAAATAAGGAGATCATCTCATCCATCTATTTTCACTCATCCAATTATCCTAAATTAGTGTAAAGCTAATAATTTTTTACAATGTAGTTTATGTTCATAATATTCATTGGTTATAAACAACGTAAGACACCCACATATACAACTACTTAACCTTGGATCTCTAGAGAAAACAATATTCCCTTTAACCGTTGAAGCTACTCAATGAGTTTCTACTAATTTTTTTCTATTGTGTAAGTAGATTCTAACTCATATTGCATAGTTAATTATTTTTAAGCTACATTTATTTTACAATTACTTGATGTAAAAAACTTGTAGTTTTGCACTAATTTAAAATTATTAGATGAGTAAAAATAGATGGTTGATATCATTTATTTGTTATTTTTAGTGAATATCATTTTATTTCTTACTGTTAATCTCAATCATCTACTTAAATTTTCTATTGAAAATAAAATTGAAAAATAAATTATAATATAATTGTATCCCTTATTATTTATTGGTTGATTAATCTAGGGTGATTATATGATGATATATGTTCTAAATATTCTCAACAATCCAACAATAAAAGTTCAACACCCTTGCAATATCTGGTACTCGAACCCGAGACATCTAAAAATAACAATCATTCCTTTAAACACTTAGATAATTTGGTTCATACTATCCTTATACCATTTATAAACTATATGAATAATTTAACTATAATGATTTCAGTTTATAATGTTGTAATTCTAATTTAATAAAGTATATCTTTGATACAAAATTTTATTTTATTTTATACAATCACAAGATCAAACGAAAATTGGAGTTCTATGAATGATGTGATTTAGAAACAAATATAAAATTTTATATTATTTTATACAATTTTAAAGAGTTCTACTAAAATTGTAGGAATATAAAATAAATTTTAAAAGATAAAAGCCTAAATCATTAATATTAAAGATAAAATATATAAATGTTCTCCAGATTATAGTATATTGTTTTGTTATGTTACATGATTATTAAAAGTTATAAAAAGATTCTCAATTATAAAACGTTGTTTTGTTGAGTCCTCCGATTATTAAAAGTTACAAAATAGTCATAGAACTATTCATATGTTACAAACTCATCATTTTTTGTTTGACCGTCTGAGTAGGATGTTAACCAGTCGATTGAGATATAATAAAATATGATCATAGAATCGTTTGAGTTGTATTTTGTGAATCGACTCTCTGTTTACATTATGTCATCGAACCAATGCTTTAAAGCAACAACGCTGGTAATAGACATCATTAAGACATAAATATCATATCTTAGTCAACATGTTAACGTCTATCTCATACGACTATCAATTATTTAACAACAAAGGACGAGTTTGGAACATATGAATATTCAGATGATCATCTTGTAACTTTTAATAGTCGAAGAACTCAACAAAACAAAATTGTATAGTTGGTAGACTATTTTGTAACTTTTAATAATTGATAACTCAACAAAATAATATCCTATAATCAAGATATCACTTATATATTTTACCTTACTATTAAATATATAAAAATAAAAATTTTAAAAGTGTGGCTGCATCCAGCACCCGCGTCTGTTCATTGATTCATTCCCAATGTGATTTGTTTCCCACTTGGTCGTGGTGTGCAACGTGGCGATGAAGTGCAATTTGTTTTCGCATTATGTCAATGGGTTTTTATCTACCATGCGTCTGTCTAATCCTATCACTAATCCACTTATTTTCTTCTTAATTGGGTGAAAGTGCCTTCTTTCTTTCCATCTACTTTATTTTTTCAACACAAGATGTGGGAATTACCCAACTAAGTGGGTTTAATCAATTATTACCAAGTTAATTAGTGAGGATGCAATTGCATTTAAGTCATAGTTTTTGGGGTCAAATATATAATCATAACGTTGGACAGATGGAATCCTATTTTTGTCGCCAAAGCTTTATTTAATTTAGCATTATGTTATATTTTGGGCTTGATTAATTCACATTTATTGTAAGAATTTAGTTGACACGGGACACCACATAATACGTTATTTTTGTACAGAAATAAAAACAGTTAATTTTATTAAAAAATAAAATATATTTAAAATTATAATATTAATTTACAATTTGAATCATAAACTAATAAAAAATTATCAAAAAACTTAAATCAGAGTAAAATATAATGAGAAAACTGTCTACAAGTACAAATTGCATATCCAAGTCTAATTCAAGAGCCCAAAACAAAGAAGATCAACAAGATAACAAATAAGATCAGTTGCAAGAATATCAAATCAAACATTGTTAAAAATAAACGATAAAAACGACGAAATGACTGAAAAAAAAATAAAAATATAACAAAAGATTAAAAAAGCGAATCATAATTAAATAATTATTACAATGGTACAGTAATTTAACGTTGTGTTCAACCCAACTTAAAATGTTAATTATAAATTTCATTAATTTATTGTACAAAATAAATTGTAATATATATCTATCTATCTATCTCTATATATATATATAAAAGAGTTTAGTTGATTTTTTCCCAGTAAAAAGACAACAATATTATCAAACCTAAATGTTATACCGAATGTTAAAAGAGTTTAATTGATTTTCTTTTAGTAAAAAGACAATAGTATTATTAAACCTAAATGGTATATAGAATGTTATAAAAAATACGAATCAAACAATTTTAATAATATATAAATTATTATTATTTATTAAAGTATCGATTTTAAAAATTATGTCGACTAAAGGTATAATTGCTAAATATTAATGAAAGATGGGAGCACTTGCTAAGAAAAGAATCGTATTCCTTCTAGTAATCTGACCTTATGTATGATTTTGACGTATCTGAACATGCACCTGTCATAAATGATGCTATCTTCATGCCACTAGTTTTATGCTATGCTACTGTCACGGGCCGTGAACAGCACCCTTCTTACCGTTTATTCTCGAAAAAACACTGTAAAAGAAGGAATGAACGATTCAGAATCTTCTTCTCTTATTTATTCAATCGCATACTATTTTTATATATTATATTTTATATCACATAAAAAAAAAATTTGTAATGTATAATCATATAACATTAATATGAAAATATAAATTAATTTTTATAAATAAAAATAAATAAGTTCAATGAAAAGAAATTATATAAAAAATATTAAATTTACAATATACTATTTTTAAAACAATATAATAATATGAACATGCTTAAATAAGCATAAACTAACCATTTATAAATATGAACATAATTGAATAAAATTCGAAATCTATATTTTAAGTAGAACTAAACTGAAACAAACATAAAATGTGTTACTATATGAATATTTTTTTTACGTAAATTACGACATAAATTGTATTATCAATCAAATTTTGAGAAAAATATATATTTGTGTTATTTTTTTTACGTTTAAATTAATATTAATATAAACTTTTACACAATAATAATTTGTTTTTGTTGATCTAGACACAATAATAAGCTATGTTTATTTTTGAGGATTCTAAGTTTTTTCTAATATTTTTAATTATATTATCATTTATAATATTTCTGAAGTAATTCATAATTTGTAATTTTCATAATGAAGTGACCAAAATAAAAGCTTATTGATAGTTGGATGATTAATTATAGAATTTACACCAAGAGAAACCCAAACTGCAACTTAACCCATAAACAGGTGTACCGTAGTCTATTAGTCATTTCGCCACGTGGTTAAAGTGAACCCAACGCAACGCGGTGTTTGTTTTTGACCCGTAGACGAGCAAGCTTTGGTGAGCGTTGTCGGCTATATATAATTTGTATCGCACATCCCATTGGATTTCTCTAGAAACTACGTCCCTGGGTCAAACCCTAATCTCTCTCTGTCTCTATCTCGATCTCTCTTTGAGATCTGCATTCGTGTTTCCTTTCACCTCTCGAAAGTCTCTCGTTATTCAGGTACGCTTGTTGTCACATCTTCTTGTTTTCGATTTTTTAAGTTTCTTTTACGTTAGGGTCTATTCGGTGTGATGAATTTAATTTGTGATTTTAGATTGTAATTTCTTTATAATTATTTGTCATCACGATTTTTTAATATTTGTTCCTGGTTATGGGTTCAACCTCGCTTTCTTGCTTGTCTGTTTGTGGATTTACAAACTCATTTCGCGGATTCTGTTTGATAGTTTGCTTGTTGATATTGCATAAAGATGAATCAAATCATTTGCTTGTTGCTCCTGGATTATGTTCAGAATATAGAACTAGAAGGATGAAATGAAACTTCCACTAATAACTCATTGAAATTCTTTCAACGTCTATATGGCTAGAACTTAAGAGTTTTGTGTTAGAAAATTTTTAGATTTTCAGCAAGGATTTTGCCCAACATGTTTTGGTATGGTAGTTCGAAATGAACATAAAAAGTACAATGGTTTGGTTTAGTTTGAAAGGAATTTCTAATAACCACTAGTAATATTTCGTAGAAGCTATTTTGAAGGTGGACGTTCGAATTGTCACCTTGAAGAATTTCTATGTCATTGAAAAATTTAAGGGTTGGACTGGTTATATTTGTAGTGCTAGGGGACCTACCTTTAGGATCTTTTATCGATTTCGGTTTCTTGGTTTAAACAGTTAATGTCTTATTTGCATTCTTGCATGAAAAGGATTTAAGATCTCATTGTCCTTTTTACCTTGTTGATGCTATCAAATGATTGAAGAACTAACATTGTTTTTTCTCTTCTGTGAGATGTACTTCTTGTCATCATCATACCAAAATGCAGGTATTGAGTTGGTTTTATTTTATAAATGGACTGTAAGAAGTTCATCCAATTGGTTGAGGAGAAGAAGAAGAGAGCTTTGGAGAAGAAAGAAGCCCCTTTGAAATGGGAGCAGAAGCTAGAAGCTGCCGCAAAGGCGAGGCTGGATGCTGAGGCCAAAGAGAAGAGAACAAAGAGGGCGAAGCACAAAAGGTACCAGTCTGATACTGATAGTGAGAGTGACAGTACGGATGGAGGGATTAAAAGGAGAAGAAGATCCCATAAAAAGCATAGGAAGAATGCCCACTCTGATTCAGGTGACCATGAGAGGAAAAAGGAGAAGTCAAAGAAAAAGACGAAGAGACATTCACCAGGTTTTAGTGATGACAGCAGTGATGAATATGATAGTAGCTCTGAAGAAGAGAGGAGAAAAAGGCAAAGTTCCCGAAAATGGAAGCATCATGATTCGAGATCAGATTCAGAATCTATTGTTTCTTCAGATGATGATGATAATAAGATAGTCAGAAGACGACACGTGAAGCACAACAAACGCCGTCGGGGTTCATTGTCTAGTACTTCAGATTCTTCAAGTGATGAAAATGATAGTAGAAATCGAAAGAGAAGCTACAGAAGACACCACAAACGCCATCATCGGGCAGAGTCTAGTGCTTCAGAGTCTTCAAGTGGTGAAGCTGTTCATGCACCGAGAAGGCAAAGCCATGCAAACCACAATAAGCATCAACGAAAATCAAATAGTGTTGTCTCAGGTTCCCTAGATTCTAATGACGAGAGACCTTGTCAAAGAGGCCGATCAATAGGTAACTCATCTGACGATACTCACGAGTCAAGGCACAATAAAAGTGGTCAGCATCACCCCCCTCACTGTCATCGACCACAGTCTGAAGTAGGGGAAAATATGCATCAACAGACAGAAGTGAAGAATCATCTGTTTGAGAATCCAGTTGAACCTAATGGAAAGCATCGTGAAGATCACTTTTAGAACCTCTCCCCCCCCCCCAAAAAAAAAAAAGTGAAAACTGACCGGCACAATCCTATCCTAATGTTTGACAAGTTGTTTTGTTGATTGGTGGGACATTTAAAACTGTTTTAATGTGGACTACGGTCATTGTTTCTTATTATTGGTGCTAAATCTGCTGTGGACTGAAATACTGAAATTTATGTGTTCATGTGTAACGTTCAGAGGTTGATATGCAATTTGATAAATTCCTTTGCTAGTTGCGTTAAAAACTTGTAGAAATTTTATTTTTTAGAATGTAATTAAAATGGGCTTTAGGCTTTTGGGCATCATACCCTTCAAATGCCACGTGAGGATGCAGAAGTAGCTCATGGCTCATTTTATGAAACGCCATCTCATCAGCCCCTGCCCACCTTTAGTGCCGCCTCTCTCTCTAGTCCCGGCCACCCTAACCATCTTTTTATACTCGTTAACAATTCACCACCCAGACCTTGACCGTCATTACACAATACAACCTCTATACCACATGAGCCCTTCAGCGATCCTCACCTTCCCATGCCTATCCTGCGACGACTCCCCTTCCGCTCCTTGACGACCCGCCATCGCCACCCTGGCCGTTGATTCGCTACTCTAGCTGCAGTTCGCCATGATACCACCGTCTGGACTCCGTCTCAGATCTCATCTATCAAGACGGCCGCCTGGTCCCTCTTCCACGTTACCATCGATGCCTCGCGGCCTCGCATACCTTACCGGGACAGTACCTCCAGCTGCGGCTCCCTGATGTGGAGAAACCTTCTTTCCTGGCCATAACGTCTACGCCTTCACTGGCGGCCTCAACTGGAGCGTTCGAGTTTTTGGTGAAGAGCGTGGCGGGGTCGACGGCGGAGTTTTTGTGCGGGTTAAAGAAAAGGGATGTGGTGGAGCTTACTCAAGCGATGGGAAACGGCTTTAATATTGATAAGATCGATCCTCCTGAGGATTATCCGACGGTTTTGATTTTCGCTACTGGGTCAGGAATCAGGTTAGGCTTCTCATTTCTGTGATAACTTGTGATTTATGCTCTGTGAAGCTCAGAAATTTTCATTTTTCTCTTCGCGTATAATCATGTATGCATATTCATTGAGTACATAGTCTCCTAAAATTCCCTTTTTAATCTTCAAGGCCAAGTCAGTATCTGTTAGCCACACTATTTTCAAACCAGTATATTTTTATTGGCCAATTTTATGTGGGTTTCATGTTCGATATCAATTATTCTTTTTGATTTCATATTTTAGTGTACACCTAGCCGTTTGAATCTTCTTAGTTTTCAGATTTGACAGCATGAATACATTGATATCTGATCGGAAGTTTTCATGCGAGAATAGCATGATTCTTTAGTTTGTCAACTTTACTCTGTGTTTTAAAGCATTTAATAGTTAATATTTAGAGATGGATTTGAGTAGTTGTTATGGATCTATGGATTTGCAGGCTTATGGGATTTGTTTTATATGTATACTTTTCTATTTGCATTAACACCTTTCCCTTTCAATATAACTAATGCACCCATTCTCCTGTCTTATTTTGTTTATTAGACTGAGCATTATATGGTGTAAAACGGAAAATAAAACCATATTGGCTGATTTGGCTTGAATTGGTTTCAAAATTTTATCTAGAGATAAAGATAACAAAGACTCCCTTTTCTTAAAAGATTCCTAAAGACTATACACTTCTTAATTAACAGCAGAATCCGACAATTTGCATGAAGGATACAAATGAAGATTTGATTATAACCCTAGATTAATGCTTCAAAAATTCAATTCCATAATTAATAAACAAAACTGAAATAATGAAAAAATTAATAGCTTAATAGCTCCGCATCCTCCAAATGTGGGTAACAGTGTGGTACATGTTATTTAAAAGCCCTTAATTTTACGTATCCGCTCACTTGCTCTCTTTACTTTCTCATTTCCAGTCCAATTCGCTCTCTCATTGAGTCGTGATTTGGTGCTGATAAGAGATTTGATGTCAGGCTCTATTATGGTGCCAGAAACCTGAGAATGGCTTATCAGGTCCGAGGCATGCTTGTTCATTTTGTTAGACTTTAATTTTCTAGAATAAGTAAACCCTTTGTTTGATTCTGAAGCTCTTGTGTGTTCTCCTATTAAAGGATAGGTATAAAGAGTGGGAATCTTCTGGTGTCAAGATTGTGCCTGTCTTATCACAGCCAGATGGCAGTTGGACTGGTGAAAGTGGCTATGTACAGGTAGAGTGTTGTATTCACATCCATGTCTTAAGATTGTTTGATGCCATAATAATCAAAGTATTGTAACCTACTTTGAATTCTGCAGGCTGCCTTTGCTAGGGCTAAGCAAATTCATAGTCCTAAGGGCACTGGTGCCGTGATTTGTGGACAAAGACAAATGACTGAGGTTTGTTGCTATTTCTTTGTAGTTGAACTATTTCCACCGATTTCTTTGCTTAATATTTGCACTTATCTCTAGTATTTTTGAGGATATCTGTTGGTTCTTTTCTGATGTTATTTTTCCTTGAGATGCAATGTTCTCAATGATTTCGATCATTGGAAATTGATTCATGCTTTATCTGTTTTTAACAATATAAAAGCTTTCCATGTTAATCAACCTTTGTGTGTGCTTTTAATGACGCTGCAGTCGACTTAATCATTGTGTTATCGGCTTCTTGCATTTTTTATTTTCTTGTAGAATATGAATTTTAAATTTATTAAAGTTATTTGATCCTGTTTATTGAACAATGAGTTTTCTTTCAGTTGAAACACTCATTTGGAGTGAAACTTCCATGTAGGTTAGGATACTTGAGAAAAAGTAAGCTATAACGATATAGGGTTGAAACATTTCAGCTAGGAGGTTTTTTTTATAGTTTTCATACACTATTTGCTGCCTTAGTTTGGGTTTTCAACTAAATTATGCTGTTGAAACTGTAGTTATAGTACTTAAGATTCCCCAACTGAAACGGCAACTTGCTTTCCAGTCCTATGAATTGATCCTGTTTCCTTAAACATCCTTAAGGGCTCTTCTGGAACCTCTACATTACAATCTCTATGGAAGGAAATGGGCTGAAGAAATAGGATAGAAAAGAGATTATTTTTTCCTTCCTGTTTTTTATGGTACAAAATTGGAAAATACCAATAATATTCCTACTTAAAAATAATCCTCTGCTGATTTGGTTTCATATGCACCTCAGATATCAAACATAATTAAATTCATCAAAACAATATATAAATATATGATTGAGATGACATGCAACGATATAGATGCTGTCACCTTTGTGCTTTCACATATATTCTCAAAGCTATCCAAAACCATTAATCCACTCTTCATACAAATATATAAAAAGGAGGGAGCAGACATGGAAGTGGGGAGGGAACTCGAAACAGAGCTAACATGTGTCCGAGTGGGTGAGCAAAACTCGATTTAATTTGATTTTTTGAATTGAGTTATTCAAGTTTTTTGTTTTTTTCATGTTCGGGTTAAATTTTACAATTCAAATAGATTGAAGTACAAATATTGATAAAGACCACTTGGGTCCCTAACAGTTTCAAAAATATGTAAGTTGGTCTCTCTAAGCGAAAATTACAAAAATCTTCAAAAATTCAAAAAAAAATCCAAATATTTTGTAAATATTATAAAAAGTAAATATATATAATCCTTAAAAGATCTTAAGAAATCTAAAAAAATGTTAAATCATAAAAATTTCAAAATTGTTCTGGAATGTTACATTTGAGGCTTTAACCAAATATTTTATTAAATCTTAAGTATGTTATTTTTCTTTAAACGAGGTTTCAAATATACATGGCCTTAAGTTTATATCCTCTAACTTGAAATTAAGTCATATTGTAGACAAGATTTTAATTTGATATTTTTCTTAATTTAACTTGGAATTTCATTTCACTAATACTTTAAAAAAATTCAAATTGATTTAGGATGATGACTTGTTAACTTGACTAACTCAATTTTTTCACTCGATTCAATTGTATACTCACCCATAATTGCCATTTTAAGATTTGAGTTCTTATACTTGACTCTTGATTTTGACTTTGTTGAAGCTTGACCTAGTTGGATTTCTTTTTTCTATTTATTATGGAAGTATACAAATTTGATTTATCTTGCATCAAGTAAATGGAGACTGAAATGTAATGTTCTCTTCTTGACGGCTTAAGAAATGAGGAATAGATGTGAAGGGGGTGAAAGAATGATCTAATATATGTGGCCAGAATCACCCACATTATAACTGATTCTTTAATAAAATAGTGACACTTTTAGTTGAGAATGAAATAGAATATGCATTCTTTGATCAATTATTAAGTAAGAAACCGATGATAATTTTTTTCTTATTAATTTTGGGTTTTTCTTTTTGGATTTTATTTTCACAAAATGGCTTTGTTTTATATTTTTTTTTATATTATTTGTTAAAGTTTCAGAGTCCTTTTCATAGTTTAATTATAAATTAAATCAAAATAGATTTAGGTTCGTTTCGGGTAATTACATGTGAATCATAAACTTTCCAAACGGTTTGGCTGGGTTTTTCAGTTATTTTACCCAGTCCTAAGAAGGGTTCTTAGTTCACCACATTTTATCTGATATGTAACAAAGCAATGGCTCTTAGTTGAGACTTCCTATCAGTTACAGTTAAACCAATTTATTTGTGTGTGTGAATAGTTGTATTTCTATAGCATTTAAAAGTGGTGTATGGTTTTTTGTTTTTTTTCATTTGATAATTTGAGACAATTTCTTCATTAAAAACAGAATACTATATGTTTTCTTGACCTACTAATAGAGAGATGTTTGGGCTCTGAACTTTAATCATTATGTGCACTTACCACTTTGCCAAATACGTAGGTGCTGTTATATTCTTTCATATATAAAGACTTATTTATGGAAACATTGGGCCTTAGTGTTGCATTCTTCAGTTATTTCTATAGCATACGCTTGAAATGAAATCTTAAACTGCTAGATGAATGTATGACAGAGAGATGGAACTGTTAAGGTAACCTTGTCTAAGATTAGGGGCTATCCTTGAATTAAAAGGTGAGAGATGGATTTGACTCTGAAAAGAGCCTAATGAGTGTATGAAGAAGCTCAGTGCTTCATGTAGTGACTGAAGCAATGCCAATTGCCAGGCAATGAATCAAAGTAGCGGCTGATGATATCTTTCTATTTACGGGTGCTTATCGTGTGAGTCGATTGCGAGTTGGGCAATATTCAACTCGTGCTTGTTAAAAAAAATTGTTGTTTGATTTGACTCATTATTCGTTAAGTTAGTTAGAATTTTGCTTAATTCGTGCTCATTAAATTCACTGAAATTTGTACTTTATTTTTTTAACTATAGGTAAAATCTATTAATAATATATAGAACTTAACATAAACATAAAATAATAAATTTAATTAAAAATTATCGAAAAAGTGTATTAAGCAATTTTAGAGTATAAATTTCAAAACAACTATTCACAAATATTTTAAAATAATAATTTTTAATTTTTATTGGTTATTAGAAAATTAATGGATCAATAATTTATCATTTTTTATTATCAATTATTAAATTTTTAAATGAAATAATTTTTTAAGATAACTATAAAAAAATATTAAAAAAAGTTAATGAGTTGCTCGCGAATTTATCGAGTTTAGTTAGATTTTACTTGATTCAACTTGTTAAAATTTCGAGTCGAATTTGAGTTTGATTCAAGGTAATCCGTGTTGTGTTTTGAGTCTTTGAGCGAGTCGAGTTTGAAATGTTTATAAGTTTTTCAACTCATTAAACACCTTTATGTCTATCCATGATTCTTAGTTTTTCAATATCAGTCGCCATTACCATTTTTTTTCCTTTTATTTTTTTTAAATACTGGAGTATGCAACATCATAAAGTTGTTTTCTTTTGTATGCAAGGTGAATGCTGGTAAGCACTGCATGAGTAACACTTTGTTGGTTTTTGCAGGAAGTGAGTTCAATACTTATGGCAGATGGAGTTTCGAGTGAGAAGATCCTATTACAACTTTTGATGGGTTTGGAACCCCCAACTTATAATTATTTGTTGAGAAACATCTGACAATTACCATAGCTGAGAATGAAAGCATGCTTGGCTAATAAACTCTATACATGGGAATTGTTAATTCATTTATCCTACGAGTGTTATTCATTCCTTGTGTTTTATTAAATAAGTAAATTTTAGATACACGGTTTAGATCAAATTAAATAAATATAGTTTATTGCATATATGTGTTGTTTATCACTTGATTTTCTATTTATCTTTCTAATTCAAATTAAGATTTGTGTTAATTTTATTTTAAATTTGTGAAATTATAAAAGATTAAAATAATAGGAGTAATTAATTATTATTTTGATTTCGTTTTGGTCATTTAGTTATTTTTGTAAAAATCATATGTAATAATACGTTTTTGTATCATTTTACTCATCTATTGTTAATAATTTTTTTAATGATTTTATGAGTTTTATAATTTTGAAAAATAAATTTAAAACAACTTTAATATATAAAAATATAAAATTTTAAGATTATATTAATTTTTATGATTTTTGCTTGTTTATGAGTTTTTTTTTTACGTTTCTAAAATTAAGTAGTTTTTTAACAAAATATATCACTAAAATAATATATATATAAAAGACATAATGATAGTATAAAACAACGTGTTCCACCAAAAATAAAGAGCCTTTTGGATAGGGGAATGTGAGATTCCCATGGGAATGAAATCTACATTTCTCCGTTTGGTTAGGCCGGGAATCACATTCCCGGTAATGTAAAATTACCAATAGTAAATATTTTAGGGTATATTACCGGAATGTCATTACCTCCCTTTTCTTAGGTATTGTTGGATTTTCGACGTTTTGGACTAAAATGCCTTTAAATTTAATTTTTTTTCAAAAATATCATTATTTTGTCATTAAATAATAAAAATTCTACGAATGTTAAATTACAAATTTATCCTTAAATTATTTTAGATTTACAAAAAAAGTCTATAATTAAAATTTTATATGAAGTTCAGGGGTTAAAATAAAATTTTACCCTTTCATTAAAACTTTTTTATATTTTTTATTTTGTAAAAAAATTATATAAATATTATGAATTTAAATTTTTTAAAGAAAATATATAAATATTTTCCAACTTGTAATATTATACAAATATATAATAAAGATAATTTGGTCAAATAAACATTTCAATAATCTTTTATTTCTTTAACCAAACACGGTAATCTTACATTCCTGCTAAACTAACCAAACACAAAATACATTCTCAGTAATCCTATTCCTTGATAATCTTAAATTTTCACTGATAATCTTATATTCCGTGAACCAAACGCAACCTAATGTTAATGACCGACTAAATATATTAATATACACAAAAGTGAAGATTTGAGTGGCAAGTCATAAATGATCACCACGTGTTCCACCTAATAGTACATAAAACAACAAATAACAAAAGAAGGTACATATTTGTGGATATTAATTCCTCTGAAGATTGGCGAAGAAACAAACAATATATATCCTAATAGATATAGGGTTGTCTCGTGAAAGGCGGAATAATACACTTTCCCACCTAGGTAAGCTACATTAATAGTATATAATTTAACAGTCGTAATTTATTAGCACATGAAACGTGAACTGGTGCCGATTTATTAAAAAGTCTGCCTCAGAAAATGGGTAAAACTTACGGCTGTTCCATGGACGATGAGAACATGTAAAGGGGTTTGATAGCTAATAAAAGTGGAGTAGAAAGAGAAGAATCAGGCCATAAAACTTGTTTGAATTTGCATGAATTCATTGAAGAATCCAGGAGGGTTGGGTACATAGCAGGTCCAATGGTGGCAGTGAATTTCTCACAGTATTTTCTGCAGATTATATCAGTGATAATAGTTGGTCACCTTGGTCAGCTTCCTCTCTCCAGCATCGCCATCACTGTCTCCTTTGGTTCTGTCACCGGCTTCAGCGTTCTTGTAAGTACTTTCCTGCTTCCCCTTTGATTTCTGATTGCAAAATATTGAACAAGACTGATTTATTTTAAATCCTAAACAGTTTGGGATGTCTGGTGCACTTGAAACTTTGTCTGGGCAAGCTTATGGAGCTCAGCAATATGGAAAACTCGGAACTCAGACTTATACAGCTATATTCTCCCTCATCTTAGCTTGTGTTCCTTTGACTGTCCTGTGGGTTTATATGGGTAAATTACTTGATTTGGTAGGTCAAGATCCTCTTATTTCAATGGAGGCTGGGAAATTAATCATGTGGCTCATCCCTGCTCTCTATGCTTATGCAACTCTTCAACCCATTGTTCGATTCTTTCAGACACAAAGTTTGATTATGCCATTGCTTGTAAGCTCTTGTTCCACTCTTTGTTTCCACTTGCTTCTTTGTTGGGCTTTAGTGTTCAAGTGTGGACTAAATGGCCAAGGAGCAGCATTGGCAATCAGCATTTCCTACTGGTCTAATGTGGTTTCACTAGGATTATATATGATGTTCTCTCATACTTGTTCAACAAGTCTTGTCCCCATTTCCATGGATGTGTTTCGAGGAATTCGAGAGTTCTTCCGTTTTGCTATCCCTTCTGCTTCCATGATTTGGTAATTTGCTTTGCATTCGTGATCGGGTTTCTCCTTTCGTTTATTTTTCCGAACGATGTTTGCCTTATTTCCATTTCCAATTATCTTTGGTTGCAGCCTTGAATGGTGGTCATTTGAGTTGCTCATAATATTTTCTGGATTTTTACCAAACCCACAACTTGAAACATGAGTTACATCGGTTTGGTACATTCTCTGCTCTGCTGTGTTGTACTCTTTTAGTTAGTCCTCAAACAAAATATTTAGCTTGTAAATTTTGTTGATGGCTATTTTTACCAGTCTAGCAACCATGTCAGCACTATATCCAATACCAGAGGGAATAGGTGCTGCTGCAAGGTATGTTCTATAACATGCATGAGGCATTCATTCATCGAACGGGTCTTAACAAAATGTTTTCTCCTAACAGCACTAGAGTTTCGAATGAACTAGGAGCGGGGAACCCACGTTTGGCTCGTTTTACTGCCTTCATTGCCTTGTCAATTGCGGTATTAGAGTCGATTACCGTCTCTGCAGTCCTCGTTTCCAGTAGGCATGTTTTTGGTTATGTTTTCAGCAATGACAAGGAAGTTGTTAGTTATGTCACAGATATGGCTCCTTTGCTAGCAGTATCTGTTATTTTGGATAGTTTACAAGCCGTCCTTTCAGGTAAGTTCACTCGTTTGGTTGTCTCGACATGTATTTATTCGAGCATGCAGCTTTTACCCGATCTGGTTTTCCAGGTATTGCAAGGGGATCGGGATGGCAGGATTTGGGGGCTTATATCAACCTTACTGCATACTATCTTTGCGGTGTTCTGGTTGCCGGCGTATTGGGATTTTGGGTTCAGATGAGAGGAAAGGGACTTTGGATTGGAATACAATCTGATGCCTTGTTGCAAACACTTTTGCTCTCTGCCATAACGAGTTGTATAGATTGGCATAAGCAGGTCTGCTCTGTCTACATTATTCTCTTTATACCTTTGAAACCACATATACACGTACGCACCCGCACACAACTATACTGTTGTAATTAGGTTATCTTACAACGATTCAGAGCTAGTGTTGAATACGAATATGTGTCCAGCACAAATACATGTAATATTTTTGAAAAACTATTCCGTTTTTTAGAAAGATCATTTTCCCATGCTCATGTCGAAATATGTGTTTTTTCCATGGATGCAGGCAAGGAAGGCAAGGGACAGATTATCGGCAAGAGCTGTTGAGACATAGCTGACTAATCTCTTATCAAAATTAAGGATTTTAATCTCTGTTTCTTTTATTAAGGTTCTAGGAAACTACATTCCTCTGTCAGTACTTTAAGTGTGGGCTTCTAAGTTATTCACATGGCAAGTTATATGATATTTTTCAATGACTTATCTGTTTATCCGATCACAGCCATGCTGCAAGGAGAATGTCGTCGTAAATCTTTTGGCTAAGATAGATACATGGTGATAAATCAATTAGAGAGATTCTTTTAGTGTTCGTCTAACATGTAATTACATGTCACAGATATGGTGATATCCAAATTGAAATTACTCTTTTTTTTAATAACAATAACCTTCTTTCTATTTTTAATAACATTTTTTAGGAGTCAAATATCAAAGAAAGTGTGATTATTGCTTTTTATAATGGTCATGCATATAAATAATATCCTAGAATAATAAAACATAATTAAGTTTCATTGATGTATGATTTGTGTCTAAAGGAATGATGGAGATTCGAATGGTGATGCTAAGAGTTTCAAATGGTGGGATGGTTAGATAAGTTTTAAGTGGTCCAAATACATGTTGGTAGAGTAGCATGGTATAATGGTAATACATATTTCTTGGATGATGGTTAGACAAATTTTAGGTGATTCAAGTATAATTTAGTAGAGCAGCATGGTATAATATTTTGATGATGGCAAGAGCTTCAAATAGTTGGATAAATTTTAGATGATTCAAGTACGATTTAATAGAGTGAGATGGCATAAATTCTTGATGATGACGAGAGTTTCAAATGGTTGGATGATGGGTAGATAAATCTTAGGTGATATAAGAATAATTTGGTAGAATAACATGGTATAATGATCATATATACATATAGGATTCTAAAATAATAAAAGAGAATATAGATTTGTTTATGTATGATTTGTGTTTAAAGGGTAAAGATTTAGATGGTACGTCAAAAGCCTCGAATGGTTGGATAATTGTTAGATGGTTCAAATATAGTTTGATAGAGTAATACGATATACATATAAATATGATCATAAAATAATAAAATAGAATTGAGTTTTATTGATGTATGATTTGTGTTTAAAGGAAAGGAGGAAGTTTAGATGACGACATCAAGAGCTTCAAATGATCAAATGACGGTTAGATAAATTTTAGATGATGACATCAAGAGAATTGCCTAAGAAAAACTAGATAGCAACCTTCACGCAAACCCGACGAGAAACGAATAGAGTAACTAATGCATTGACAAGAATAGTGGGAAAAAATGATTTTGAGGGAGCAACTTTCCCGAAGCTACAGAACTGGCAGCCCTAAAGCTCCAAGACGACATTAGGAATATAAGACAACATTATTCAAGTTAGTCTAGTATAATGTGATAGAGTAACATAGTATAATGATCATAAATATAAATAACATTTTAAAATAATAGAATCAAATTACACTTGATTGATGTATGGTTCTTTTACCAAAGGGATCAAGAGCATATTCTTTTGCTCCCTAAAGGTTTAAAAGGGTAGAGTAGCATGGTATAATGATTATACATATAAATAATAAAGGTTTAAAGGTTTGTTTACTTCCTAAATTGTCCTTTAAAATATTTTAGCACGTTTTGTCCCCTTAACTTTAAAAGAAAAATAAGAAAATAAAGGTATCAACTAAGGGAATCGAATTTAGGTCACTTAGGAGAGTATCCTAATATCCAACCACAAAGCCAAATCCTAAATTATGTAACAGACGCACTTAATATTTAGTTTAAATATTTATTTTGTTCTTTATATAACAACTTTATGATTTGACTTTGTCACTGTAACACCCTCAACCCGTACCCGACCCGGATACGAGTCCGAGGTGTCACATTGACTTTTCAAACTTTGACTCTTGACAAAATTCAAAGAAAATTTAAAACTTTCCTTAGAGTAAAAGCAGTTTAGTTACATAATTTGACCACAATAACCAAAATCGATCAGAGCATATTTAACTCAATCAATTAGTACATGCCAACTATATTCAAAATAACAAAAATCATTTAACTCATCTATTTTCTGATATGAAATCTTGTAAGGGAGATGCTGACCTGTATTGCTCCTCACAGCTTCCATATTCACTTTCTGTAACCTGCGTGTGAAACACTCACACGCTAAGTCGATGACTTAATGAGGCATAAAGAAAACACATCTAATGGAATTCATACCCACTAATCATGCATGACTGTTTTATGCTATCAAATTATACAACTCATTTACATATACATCAACATATATTCATGTATATTATGTAACAGATACCATAACCCCTATCACACATATATCATATCATGCACACATCATATCACAAATCATATACATATATCACATACATTGTTCTCATATCACCAAGACATATAAGCACTTCTACCATGTCACGAAAAATACACATATCATTATATCAAATTATGTTCTCTTTTCAAAGCCCATGTACACATGTGAGAACTATAGATATGCGAGTCTATAGAGGTTGTGCACTATGTTGTCACCACAGCTCGTATAATTGCACCGAAGTGCCACGTAGAATTGCACCGGAGTGCCGCGTAGAATTGCACTGTAGTGCCATATAATAATGTCCATAAGGACTACATATCATTCCTTAAGAATCATATATATATACTAGGGATCAAGTATGTGTCTCACCAGACTTCACACATGTTCCAAAGAATACATATATGTCCCGAAGGACCACATATCATTCCTTAAGAATCATATACATATACCAAGGATCAAGTATGTGTCTCACCAGACTTCACACATGTTCCAAAGAATACATATATGTCCTGAAGGACCACATATCATTCCTTAAGAATCATATACATATACCAAGGATCAAGTATGTGTCTCACCAGACTTCACACATGTTCCAAAGAATACATATATGTCCCGAAGGACTGCGTATACCCTCAACTCTTGGCATGCCAACTATACCCCTAGCTCTCAAGACACATAATATGGGCATTTTCTTTTATACTTATCATTTCACATAACACATAGTTCAATTACTCATAGATCATTTTCATATGAGTCACATTTACATGTCACATAGCTTATATACTTTCTCACGTAGTTACATAGATCCATATCATATAACATATATCCCAAAGTGCACATAATCACATATATCATATCATATAGCTTAGATCATTTCTCAGATATTCATATAAACATACATATCATATCTTGTTCACATATGATCATATATGCTTCATATAACACATAGAAACACCTAGAACACTTTCTCATAGCTTATATCAATTTTCAGAGTCCTTTCATATTACCTGATGACATATATCATATAGATATATAATAACGGATATCATATTATCTACCTTATGCTCTATTTCTTTGTATTCCCTTAGATTATAAATTATGTCGTATTTCTAAACATATATCATTTAATAGTATTTTTATTTAGGTACTAATTTAATCTCTTTACTTAATTCAATTTCATATATTCATTATAATCTTTTCATATAGCTCCATTATACTAATTCTCATAATAAATCATACCACTAGGTACTTGTCCAACTCATGCTTCCATTATGCATATACTGTTACCCATGTTTACCTAGTTCATATCACTTCTTATAAACTCACTTTCATCATATTTTCCTATTATTACATATTTTATCTCATAACCATGTATCCACATAGTCTTATATTTCATTATCATATTACATATATTTGTTCTCTTATGACTCTTAATAAACATATATTTCTATTTCCCTACATCTCTCGACTTATCTTCTATATTCCTATAATTTCATAACTTATTTTATATCATTTTCCATTTTTACTCACATAAACCATCTATTTATTTAGTTCAATTTCTCATGACTTCCACAATACTCTTTAATAAAAATTTGTAGCTCTTCACTTTAATACATAAACCATAGTTTCCTTTAATTTATCAATCTTCTCTATATAACTTATGTATCCTTATTTATGCCCTCGAATTCATACTATTCTCTTAGAGTCTCCTAACATTTCTCGTATAATCACTTATACCATATCATATGACTTATACTTGATTATCTTATTCTCTCATGTTCATTTCATTTCTTATGACTCTATCATATAACTTATTCCATGTTCTTCCATTATTACATAATAAAGTCTTACATAAATCATATAACATATACAAAGCATATCATTATCTTTAGTCATGCATACATACAATCAATAATATAATCACATATAGTTATAGCCAACACATAATCATGTCTATGACTTCATGCATATTACTCTAGGAAATAGACTCATCGCAAGTCTTATTTCCATTAAACACTACATGTCACTAGTATGCACTCACTAGTCAATTCCAATCTCTTATTTTTCCCTTGATCGATCTTACTTGCCAAATGTTACGGAATTGCTTTACGCGCAGAATCTACATAAATGTACATTTTGAGGCAATCATTAGATACCTACACCTTGTAATTGGATACTAGCAACTTAAACGAACTTATTAAACCAATATTCACATTTTTCCTTTAGGGGGAATCGGTTCCCTACTAAGGGGGTATCGATTCCCTCATGACATTCTGGAAATTTTTGTTCGTTTGAAGTGGTATCGGTTCCCCTTGAATGGGTACCGATTCCCCTTGCCCAGAAATCATATTTTTAACTCGAAAATTACTTCATTTCCTCTCAAACACTTCATATATCATCCCCTTTTCATTCTTAACTCTAGTACACATACTTAAACCAATCTATATTCATTTATTTCATCTTAAACCTCAAAATCCTATCTTCCATATGAGATTCAAGAATCATACCAAATTTTCTATATGTTCTAAATCCAATTCTATCACTCCAAATCTCTTAATTTAACCATTGACAAGTCAAATTTAACTTCCAATTTAAGAAATAAACTTTATTCCAAGATTTCATTTGTAAACTCTAAATCTTTAATCTCTCCTAACTTTACCATCCTTTGCTTTTAAGATGATTTAAGTTTTCCTTAAGCTTAGTTATCATCTAATAATCAAAACCCAACCTTAAAATCAACAATTCAATTATAAACAAAGAAACTTACCTTTGGCTCTTGGCTTCCACATGAAGAAGAAGAAGAAAGGAGAAGAGAACTCTGGAGAATTCTCTCCCTTTCCACGTGCATTTATCCTTACCAATCCCATTTTTAATTCCTTTCTTGGTCAATTGACCCTTTTGCCCTTTATTTCCTTTAATAATTACTAAATAACCTTCATCATATATATCCAATAATCATTGAACTATTTTATTCTTATACTTTAGTCACCAAATTCTGAAACTTTACAATTTGATCACTAACCCAGTATTGCGGATGTTACAGTCACACTCTTATATTGGTTTAAATTTTACTTTATGTAATTAGGGACTAAAATGACATCTTTCTAAAAGTTCTAAGTTATTTTGTGAATTTATAAGTTTAAGACCACTTAATTGATTCCCCTCTTTAATAAATGTTCGTTAAAAATGTAACAGGTAAAAGAATGATTTTGGGGTGTGAAGGGACTTAAATCCACGATCCCAAGGCCGATGGGCAGCCTGTTTAACCACCTACGGTACGACGCCTTCGGGTATATGATTAACCCGGTTAAATGTTAAACCTTTCCCCTGCTAATCGCCTCAAGTATAAAACTCATTTCTCAGATGAGAGATTTTTTATCTTAAAAAATTCTTCAAACTCTCCTCTCTCAACATGTTATCTGTTCTGTTGTCATTCCGTCGTCCGTGCGTGACACCGTCGTGCTTCACACATAGGGTTGCACATAATTCGGATTTCAATCCGATCCGGATCGGTTTTTATCCGATCCGGTTTTTTCCCGTAGAAAAAAAACCGGTTTATAAAATAACCGGTTCGGTTTCTAACTGGTTTGGAGGGCCGGATATCCTAACCGGTGTAACCGGTTTCGGTTTTAAAAAAACCGGTTTTTTTAAAAAACCGGTTATAAAAAAACCGATTTTAATATTCCAGATTGCTCATAGGGAACCGATTCCCCCCAAGGGGGTACCGATTCCTCACTGAATGGTTTGGCTCCGAGATTTCCAGAATGCTCGGAGGGAACCGATTCCCCCATAGGGGTACCGATTCCCCCCTATTCAACGGTCGAAATATTTGAATTTTACACTTAGGGAACCGATTCCCTATGAGAGGGTATTGATTCCCCCACGCTCTAAGCATTTTTATTAAATGTTTTCACACTTAAACGGCTATATTATCTTCATTAATTATCACTAACGTTCAGAAGTGATTCAAGGTGTATTTAAGCAAGCTTAGAAGTCATTGATCAAAGACAAGAAACATCAAGCAACTAGAATCAAGAGAGAATCAAAGAGAAAGCATCAAACCTCAAGTTCGATAAATTCAAATACTTAATTGAAATACTTAATTAACTCAACATAATTGAAATACTTAAATACTTCCAAGTTTGATAAATTCAAATACTTAAAAACTTCCAAGTTCGATAAATTCAAATACTTAAAAACTTCAAGTTCGATAATTGAAACAAAGTTTACGATAACTGAAATAAAGTTATAAAATAAACTACATTGCCATCTCTTCTTCATCATCTTCGCCTTCTTCGTTTGGAGGGGATATTCCAAGTTCGACTTCTTCAATGTGTAAGTTTGCTTCCAAATCGGCATCAATTGCATCTTCTAGGGTGGTGATATGTTGCTTACGAGCCGCTCCATCCAAATAATCCTTTAAACAAATGCATACTTCCACCGACTCGTGACTTAGTCTTGATCTCCGTTGCGATATAACCCTGCCACTAACAGAAAAAGCGGATTCCGAAGCTACCGTAGAAGCTTGGACGGTTAGTAAATCACGGGCCATGGCGGCTAGAATCGGAAATTGTGCTTCCTTTTCTTTCCACCAAGCCAAAATATCCAAACTTTCAAACTCTTCAAATGTCATTTTTGATAGAAAATCGCATGACATATAATTTCCCAACTCGCTACTTGGGGTGGTAGTACGTGATCGTTTGGATTGAGAATTTACAAGAGTGTTAAAAAGATTCAAATTTATGTTACTTGGACGTCTACTAGATGATTCCGCATTCATTCTCATTTGATCGTGTATTACACTACTTGATCCGTATTTATTTAAATAAATTGCAAACATGTCTCGAAAACATTTGTTAAAATAATTTATTTGGTTTTGGACAAAGTTGGGTTCATCATCGGTTAGATTAAAAGCAAACGCAATTTGTTCAATTAGTGTTTCAACCCCACCAACATTTAACGTTGGGTTTAAAGCGGCGGCACAAGTAAAAATGGGGGGAATCTCCTTAAAATATTTTAAAAGTTTTTCCTTCATTGCAAAGCCAATTTCTTGAAAAACTTCGGTTTCAAATTCAAAGTCATTAGTCGGGTAGCCAACAAAAATATTTGATTAAGAACCAACGGGCTAGTAGGGTAATAAACACCGGATAAAAAAGTTGTTGCATTTTTAAAAACCTCAAGCAAATCGGTTATTTGGCTATAGTTTCCCAACTCGAATCCGGATAAATGTCTGGGACATGACCCCTCTCGAAAAGCCGATCGTGAAATGTTTGCAATGTTTCCCTTTGCCTTAAGGCAGTATGCATCATCATCCAAGTTGAGTTCCAACGAGTTGGACAATCCAAATTAGGACCCAAAGCTTTTTTATTAACAGACTTACAAAATCGTTTATAATCATTTAGTCTTTTGTTGTTGTTACAAAGAATCGATTTTATCATTGTTTTAAATTCTAATCTAATTGGCTCAATAACCTCCAAACCGGCTTGCACGGATAAATTAATTATGTGTGCAACGCAACGGGTATGAAAAAACGCACCGTCTAAAATCGGTGAAAGTAATATTTTCAATCTTGGAATCGCGTTTGTATTATTCGATGCATTATCAAAAGATATAGAAAAAACTTTATTTTCTAATTTATAAAGACAAATTACCCGTTTTAAAAGTGTAAATAAATTAGCACTGGTATGCGGCTCACCGAATAATTCAAACGCGATTGTTCTTTTCATCATTTGCCAATTATCTTGATCTAACCAATGTGACGTAACGGCTAAAAAAGAATTTCCGGTATTATGAGGGGAACTCCAAACGTCACATGTAAGCGACACACCATAACGGTGTTCTTGGAATCCTAAAATCATTTTTTCCCTCGCCGTACGCCACATTTTTATAGCATCTCTTCTAAGGGTAGTACGACTTACTTGAGTATAACATGATTGCATTAGTTGTTGAATTGTTGTCGTGAAATCTTCATCATCAAAGTGGTCGAACGGCAATGCTTTTGTAATCACGAACTTTGTAAACGCTTCTCGTAATTTTTCGTTGTCGTAAACAAAAACACCACCTTGCGGTGTAAGATTCGATTGACTAGGATCCGATCTTGAGCGAAGTGCCTTGCATGATTTTGTCAAATGGTTCTTCAACGTTGTGTTTCCTTCCGATGCAAGAAACTTTAGACAAAGTTTACAACGCGCCCTCCTCGAGCCATTTGACATCTCACATAAATCGTAGTGATCCCAAATATCTTTGTTTCGAGTGTGTTCGATCACTCTCACGACTTCAAGATTTCCCCCGACGGAAGATTCAGCAGTGTTACTCATGATGAATAAAAAATTACAAAACTAAGATTTGAGAGATGTTTAAGTGTTGTGTAATAAGATTTGAGAAAGTTGTAATCAACCAAATACATCCCCAACCTATTTATACATGTTTATGGTGGTAAAATGGTAATTTTTTAAAGAAAAAAACGGTCAAAAACGGTCACAAACGGCTATATTAACGGCTAGTTTTTTAAACCCAGACCGGTTTTTTTTTCCGGATAAAAACCGGTTTTTAACCGGTTTTTTTCAAACCGGTTTTTTATCCGGTAAAAAAACCGGTCTAGGTTTTTTTCTCCAAACCGGTTAAAATAACCGGTTTAAAAAAATCCGATCCGGTTAAAAAAAAACCGGTTTTTCCCAAAACCGGTTTCGGATATTTTTTTCGGATATTCGGATATTCGGATTTTTTGTGCACCCCTATTCACACATCATCCCATTTCAGCCGGTACCATCATATTTGGCATTGTTGACGTCGCTGTGGAGTTTGGAGGGGAAAGAGTCTCATTCATTCTTGAAATACGTACATATCCCACTATAATATCTCAAGAGTGGGACGTTGCTGTCGTCAAAAGGTACATAGACTGAAGGATGTGTGAAAAAGAAGATTGTTCTCAAATGCCTTCAATTTTCTTTTTGGCCCGTCTAGCAAAAGTCTTGGATGCATGGTGAAAAATCATATGAGCTTAGATCAATGTTAGTAAGGGTGCGAGTAACAATTATTACGTGCAATTCCAATAGACATCTGAAAGAAAAATAACTGTTCATTGAGTGCAAGAAAAAAAGGTGGAAAATGTAATACAACAAATTTGCATCTGAAAGAAAAATAATACAACACGAAAAGCTTCTAAAGCTGAAACAGTTGGAGAAATTTAGGCACAAATTGGCAAGTAAAATGGTGAAATTAGGAGCATATTTTTCTATCCTAATCCTAACAACAAAAGAATAGATAATATGCATTTATAGTTTATGATAAAGTTACACGCATGTACATTTCTCCGTTGAATTCAAGGGTAACTAAGTTACCAAAAGAATAGTGTATTGCATTACCGAAATTATTGTCTCTTTTTGCCGTAACTCCGCTGCAGTTTCCATGACCAAACCACAAGGAACAATATAAGAGCCAACCCCATCGATGACCAGAAAATTACCAACCATTTCGGCATTGGCTTAGGGTATAAACCTGATGAGTGGGGAATACACAAAAACTACAACAGGTCAACGCAGTTGCAAACTGGCCAAAAAATCAAATCAAATCAACCATAATACAATTATCATTGGCACGGAAATTATTACAAATCGAACGACCATAAATATTATATGGTATGGGGATTGGATCATACCATGTCCAAACTTGATGCATATGAGAAGCTCAATTATGCAAATTGCGAGCGAAAGCCAACAAAAAGCTCCAACCTTTTTCACCGGTTTTCTGAAACAAACAACTAGTTTTTAAGTGAAACAAGAAGATTCTGCTGTCAATAATTTCCATATAAATATATATCTCAAAAATATGGAGATAGAACGATATGGTACTGGTCTTGGAGGTATGAGTTGTACTCGCGAATTGTCGGTATTGCTATTAGCCACCACAAAATCAACCTATAGACAATTACAGGGTTTCGAGGAGGAATCCAGAGACAAAACTTCAGAAAGAATGTATTAAGTTCTACTGTCAAGAAGACAATGCAAAGGCTGAGGACTTGAATGAAACGCCATGGACCAAGAAATGGGTGCCATTCATCTTTGTCCCAGTGTGCCGGCGTAAATTGTCCTAATGTTCGTTTCACCTGACAAAAGCAAAGTGCAACAACAATTTTGTGACTCGAATTTTAACTCCATCATGGTCTATGAAAGCTTAAAAAATAACAAGGCAATTGAAAGCTGAAGCCCAATGCTAAGTTTCTACGCCAAGTAATCACACGGGAAAAACATACTTTGCCAATGATGTTAGGCTGGCGGCTTATACCAACCCACTCATAAGTTCTTCCATCAAAGTACCTAACAGTATGCATTCCAGCCCAAATACCTACAACCAGGACAAATATGGTGTCAATATGTAGGCTGAAGAATCATTAACTCTTTATTTCTTAACCAGAAACTTACAACAAAATAAAAGTGAAGACTACACATGATAACACAACAAACAGGGCACTTGAGATACAAGATTATCATAGACATTGAAAACTGCTACATCAACTTAGGTTGCAAACGTGAAAAAACTTTGGGTAACAAGCAGCAAGGCAGGATGAGGATTACGATCATACGTGGGGCTAAAAACTGTTTTCATACCCTTTGAATTTGGTGTCACGAATTAGGCGAGACAAACTTGGTTATTGAAGTTACATAAGAGTCTTAACAAAGTAATATTAAAGGAGATTTATATTAGCCATTTGGTTTCCTAACTATTATGATTGGGGTCCAGTTTAGATCTCTTCAATTCAATTAAAGGGTTTAGGGTCCCTAAAACTACACTATTTCGACTTTCCCCTTTTCCGAAAAATTCTTCCACCTTGTTAATGAGTGAACATCATAAAACATCAAAACCATAGAAGCATTTCTCACAGAAATATCAACAAATAAACGAAAATATCAGCTGAACTAGACATATCAAATAGGATGGCGAAAAAACTCTTTTCTGTCATGCAACTAAAAACAAACAATCATGACCAGCTAACGGAACCCCAGAACCACTCCGAGTGACAGGAAATATCATAGCACAAAATATGACCCCTAAAAAATGGCTGTCCCTTTTTCCCATATGTATGGGGTAAGGGGGAAGTAAGATAATAGGCTACCCCCAACACTAAGTTGAGAGCAGCTTCCGTAAGAGACCTCCGAATTATGAAATGCCCTCCGTGGGACTCGATCCCACGACCTCAAGATTAAGAACCTTGTGCTCTACCAACTGAACTAGATGGTCATTTCATATGACCCCTAAGAAAAATTAATTCATTTTACCACACCGTATAAAAACTTGCTAACAAACATTTGAATAATTGAGAAAATGGAACTTAAAAGACAGTTCCAAAAACAAGTTAGCCAGTGGCCTTGTCACTTTCAGTCAAATCATATGCTACAGCCTTAAGCACAACAGAGACCAAAGGAAAAGTACATATGGAAAACAAAGGGTAATAAAATGGCAGTGCAGGATCTTACCAAACCAATTACATATCAAAATATCAAGAATAATGCTGTCCCACCAGCACTCACTAAAGTTGGGTAGCATGTGTCGGAAGGTAAGCTGCATATGCCATCATAGTAGTCAGTTTATTGATGCAAAACAAACAGCATGGGCATGCATTAACTTATTAATAGTAATACTTCTAAACAGAAAATCAGAACAATAAGAAAAACGATAAGCATGTCATTATTGGGTCAAAATTTAACCTCCATAAACTCAAATCCAATTGAGAGGACCCAGAGAAGCGGCTGATTGCGGATTAAAATGGCCTTGCCCCACCAGCCAAAGATGTGGGCTAGAACAAATTCATCAAATAGCGTCTCCTAGAAATGGTTTTATTTACATGTAACAAGATTAGAATTGAAAAATATAAAACCACAGCAATTGCATAGAGAAAGACAAGATCAAGCATGCATTAAAATAAATACCTAAAGAAAAAGAGGTAAAAGTAGAATAAAGTAGAGAATCCAGGTTGTGCAAGAAGATCCATACATAAACATTCTTAAATCTGTTAGAGGGATTTTCAGGAATATAAATGCGACAATCAGCACCATAGGATCGTTCTGGAAGCTCTGCATGAAGAAGCAAATAATAAATCAAGAAAATTCAATAGAATTAATAGCACCAGAGCAAATATGAGACTGAATATCTATCAGAGGCAAAAGCAGTACCAACACCAAGGTCAGGATGGAGAAACTTCATGAATTGTCTAGCATCATCGCACGTCTGAAACAGAATTGAGAGGAACCATCAGTAATCATTTATTATAACCCTTTACGCATACATATATGTATATTTCACTTCTTCTCGTGTGTGTGCTGTATATGTATTTGATGTTTATAGGTAATGCATCTCAGCTCCTATTAGCACAGCTCACTACACCTCTTATGTACCTAAGCCTCCTGGTCCTACTGCTACTCTTACACTATGTCTTGTCTCCATGACTGCTAAACCTCTTCCTCGGCTTAAACGTAATTCCTCAAGAGCCAAATGAATGATTAAGACTCCAGGTGTAGCACATAATGTTGACCAACAAAAATGAATAAAGCTACTAGATACAAAAGCAAATATACACGCATAACATATAAAATAAATAAAAATATATGTACTTTGCAATGGACAGAGAAAGCTACAATATAGAAAATAAATAAATAAAAGCTGCATCAGGAAACTAACCTGAAAAAGCATAAAAGTGAGTGCGACAAGGTAAACAACAGCCATTCCATGAACTAAACGCCAAATTGCCGGATGTGGCCGAATAAGGACCCTGCAAAGCAGTGTAACTTCTTTTTAAGTGTCGGGAAATAAAACTAGCAGTCCACCAACCATACCAATAAGAAATGCAGGTGAACAGAACAAAGATTTGGAAAGAAAAAATATTGAACTTCACAGCTATCCATAAGTACTTATAAAGGTTTCCATCGCCATCTTCTCTGGCCAGCACAATCATAAAAGCATTGTTTTGACACCATGAAAACCATTTTTGGTATACTACAGATCCAAGGGCTCATATAGCAAATGAAAATACATATTTTAACTTTAACACTCATATAGAGGAAATAAAAATCCATAAATAAATTGAAACAAAATTTTGATTTATACCAGGTAAGCCTCGGATTGTTGAATACATTTTACCATACATGTCTTCTGGAAAAGGAAATTTCAAAATTCTGTTTCTAAGAGGTTACAGAAGAATCAAGCCTGCACCTTTTCAAGAGGATTCTTAATGAACCAAAGAATTGTATCATCAATTAATACACAATTATTTTTTCTCAGGAGTAAAGGGGATTTGCATCTGCTACTAAATTACTTTTCTACAAATCAGTAAGGAATCCATGTAAAACAGTTAAATGGATTAAGATCTACAGAAAGAATCAATCTAATAACTTACGTGGAAGGAGCCTGCAGCAAGCAATAAGCAAGAAAAACTGCAATCATTGCCCATACACCTCTATAAAAAAGCACATGGGAGATACTTAATATATGTCAGCAAGTAAAAGGGCTAAGACATTACAATGGCATTAGAAATAAATAGAAACCTTTTTACAGATGTTACAAGATCAACAAATTCGTTGCTCTCAGGATCAAGGGCTCCACTTGCCCAACTGTTAAACATATAGAGACCAAACAAATGAGTCTTAAATATAATTTAAATTTAAAGGAGAGAAAGAAGTTTCCTCTTAGAAAAAAAATGAAAACAACTACATGTCACATATGACATGGTTCTGGATGCAGCAGGTAGAAGACAATAGCAAGACGCTACGTCGCTACCATCATTTAAATTGAATAATACTGTATAATGATCAGGCTGCAATAGAGAAATAGATAATACCAATTATTTCCCTTCAAGTACAGTGACTTTGACAAGCGCAAAGTGGAAAATGAAAAAGAACTACTATAGCTGAATAAAATTAGTTCATAAAAAGATTCAAAACATAAAGTGTCCGTGAGATTTTCTTAAAACTTGTTTAATCTACATCGATCATTGTGACCATAGTGTCCTTTTAAAACACAGATCCCATCTGCTTACTCACAATCCTTGAAATTGCTGAACATGTTGCCAACACTACAGTAGAATCAAGAATATCTACGGGGTCAACCATCACAAAAACAAGTTCAAACTGAAAATTAAGCTTTTCTAATGCAATATTACTATCTGGTACATAGTACATGCAGCAGAGGCAAGTTCCAAAATTAGGACCCACGGGCAACCAATATATGGTTGATGACAACCAAATGATTCACGCAACTCAAAATAAAAACATGAGCATGAATTCAAACCAGGAAATACGAATTCTAGCAACAAAAGAAGAATTTCTGTGTTATTAATGTTAGGAAAATAAACCGAGTACAAGTAATTTCCCTATAACCAGATTAGTGAGAATGCGAAATAAAAGCGGAAAAATAATATCCGAAAATTGATAACGGAGTTCAGCCAATTGTGCTTACGTCTCCGGGCTGCTGCAGATCTTTTACTAAGAGAGAAAATTTACAGGTGTTTACAAAACACTCACTACTCACAAGAAAGCTCTCTAGTATAGGAAGAAATAAATGTTTTGGGATGATTTTGAAGCTAAATGGGTAAGGGTATTTATAGTAGAAACTTAGGGACTAATCTTTGAAAATACCCTAAAGTGCAATGACTAAAGTGAATTTACCCATTCCTATTTTCAACAAACATCTACCAAAATTTTACCAAACTTTGAAAAACATTTTTCAAAAAAACATTTACCAAACTTTGAAAAAACATTTTCCAAAGTTGGTTGCCAAACTTTGAAACTTTTAACAATCTCCCACTTGAAGACTGATTTTAATATGTCTTCACACCTCGATCAATGCAGCAGCATGTCTGGTCTTGTTATTCTAGCATGCCAACTGAAGCTGAACACAACTTCAGTTTGTCCGTAGTCACCGTCTTTGTCAACATTTCTGCCGGATTTTGAGCTCCACTAATCTTTTCAAGTTTCAAAATCCCATCTTCCAGAAGAGACCGGATAAAATGATATTTCAATTGTATGTGCTTTGTCCTGGAATGAAAAGACGGATTCTTTGCTAGATGGATAACACTTTGACTGTCGCAATATAAGATATTGTTTTCTTGTTTCTTGCCTAACTCTTCCAATAAACTTTGGAGCTAAACCATCTCCTTGCTGGCTTCCGTAACAGCGACATATTATGCATCAGTTGTGGAGAGAGCAACTATCTTCTGTAGTTGAGAAACCCAACTCACTGCAGTTCCTCCTAGAGTATAGACATACCCTGTAATGCTCCTTCTGATGTCAACATTTCCGGCTAAGTCAGCATCTACATAGCCTGTCAGTATCATATCTCCACCTTTGAAACAAAGTGTTTTGTTTGTGGTACCCCGAAGATATCTGAGGATCCATTTGACTGCTTCCCAGTGTACCTTGCCCGGATTATTCATGTACCTGCTAACAGCTCCCACTACATGAGCAATATCTGGTCTGGTACAAACCATGGCATACATTAGACTTCCAATTACTGAGGCATACGGCACCTTCACCATGTGTGCACGTTCTTCCTCCGTCTTTGGTGATTGGTCTTTGGAGAGTCTGAAATGAACACCTAAAGGTGTACTTACTGGTTTAGCATCTTGCATGTTGAACCTGGAGAGTACTTTGTTGATGTACTCAGCCTGTGATAACATCAAAGTCCCCGACTTTGTGTCTTTCTTGATCCTCATCCCAAGAATCTGCTTTGCAGCGCCCAGATCCTTCATAGCAAACTGCTTCGACAATTTTTGCTTCAAGTTTATAATCTCTTGCATGTTTGAGCCTGCAACGAGCATGTCATCAACGTACAACAATAAAATAATGAAACTATTGTCGAACCTCTTGATGTAGCAACAATGATCTGCTTGGCATCTGGTAAAACCACTGCTACTCATGAAACTATCGAACTTCTTGTACCACTGTCTAGGAGCTTGTTTTAAACCATACAAGCTCTTCTTCAACCTGCATACCAGGTTTTTCTTGACTGCCTCTATGAAGCCTTCTGGCTGCCTCATATAGATCTCTTCCTCCAAATCACCATGAAGGAAAGCTGTCTTTACATCTAACTGCTCAAGATGTAAATTCTCTGCAGCTACAATTTTCAACACCAGTCTGATTGTAGACAGTTTTACGACTGGAGAGAAAATTTCATTGTAGTCAATACCTTCTTTTTGTTGAAAACCTTTGACAACTAATCTTGCTTTGTAGCGTTTTCTCCCATCATGTTCTTCTTTGATCCTGTAAATTTACTTGTTATGGAGCGCTTTCTTACCTGGTGGTAATTCAGCTAATTCCCACGTCTGATTTGACATAAGTGAGTCCATCTCATCTTTCATGGAAGACTCCCACTTGACTGAATCCTCCACCTGCATTGCTTCATCATAGCACTCTGGTTCACCATTGTCAGTCAACAACAAATAGTGCAAAGAAGGCGAATACCGTTGGGTTGGTTTAGGAATTCTGGAGGAGCGTCTTAGTTCTGGTGTGTGTGGTTCTTCTTGAACTGCTTCAGGATTGATCTGAACATAATTTCCAGAAATCTCCTCGAACTCAGCAAATTCCTTTGTTTCAGCTTCGGTATTACTTGATTCTGCGGTTGACCTATCTTTGTACATCACATTTTCATTGAAAATGACGTCTCTGCTTCTGATGATCTTTCGATTTTCGTAGTCCCAAAACCGATAACCGAACTCATCACCACCGTAACCAACAAAGACGCATTTGTTGGACTTGGCATCAAGTTTACTTCTTTCAGCAGAGTTTATGTGTACATAAGAAATACAATCAAACACTCTTAAGTGTGAAAGGTTTATTTCTTTCTTGCTCCAAGCTTCCTCTGGTATTCCGCCATCCAAAGGAACTGAGGGCCCCCGGTTGATCAGGTAAGCTGCAGTGTTGATAGCTTCAGCCCATAGAAATTTGGGCAATCCGGCATGTATCCTCATGCTTCTGGCACGTTCATTCAGAGTTCTGTTCATGCGCTCTGCTACACCATTCTTTTGCGGTGTTATGGGAACTGTTGTCTCCATATTGATCCCATTGTTTGCGCAGAAATCTCTGAAACTACTGTCTCTATACTCTCCTCCATTGTCAGACCTCAACCGCTTGACTTTCAAACCAGTCTCATTTTCCACCATGGCCTTCCATTTTCTGAAGATATCAAAGACTTCTGATTTCTTCTTCAAAAAATAAACCCACACCTTCCTTGTTGAATCATCGATGAAGGTGACATAATATAGTGAGCCTGCAAGAGATGGAACAGAGGATGGTCCCCATACATCAGTATGAACAAATTCTAACCTTTCTGCCTTGGGAGTCTTGCCAATCTTTGTAAAACTGACTTTCTTTTGTTTTCCAAAGATGCAATCCTCGCATAGTCCGACATCTACATTCTTTAGATCCGGCAGCTTCCCTTTTGACAGAAGTATCTTCATTCCTTTCTCGCTCATATGGCCGAGCCTTTGGTGCCATAGGTTTGATTTTCCATCAGCATCTGCTACTGCAATGATATTCTCTAAATTTGAGGTTACATAGAGAGTACCGGTCTTCTTACCACGAGCAATGACGAGTGCTCCTTTGGTAATCTTCCATTCACAGCCTGAAAAAGTTGTACTATATTCTTCTCCATCAAGCTGTCCAACAGAAATCAGATTTCTTTTGAGGCCAGGAATATGTCTCACTCCTGTCAGCTTCCAGGTGGTCTGGTTTGGCAGCTTTAGTCGGATGTCTCCTTTTTCGACGATCTTCAAGGTTTCATCATCAGCTAGATGAACCTTCCCAAAAACACCACTGACATAGTTCTCCATGATTTTTCGGCATGGGGTGGAGTGGAAAGATGCCCCTGAATCCAAGATCCATGATTCAATCGGACTGTTGACGCTTAAAATCATGGCATCACCTGTCTCCTCCGTCATGTTGGCAGATTCCTGTGTGCCGGTATTTTTCTTCGGTGCTCGGCAATCTCTTTTGAAGTGACCCTTCTTGCCGCAATTATAACAGGTAAAATCTTTATTTCCTGTTATTGATTTGCCCCTTCTGGATTTTGATCTACCACGATTTGAATTTATTTCTGAAGTTCTCCCTCTAGACTCCGTGTGCAAGGCTGAGGAGGTTGATGCTTCACCCGATTCTCTTCGTCGAATTTCTTCACTCAATACTAGATCCCGAACATCGTCGAATTTTAATTTGTTGTTTCCCGACGAACTGCTGACTGCTGTAACAGTAGCATTCCAACTGTCTGGTAGAGATGATAAGAGAATTAAAGCTCGAACTTCATCATCGAACTCAATTTCCACTGAACTCAACTGGGTTGTGATTGTATTGAGTTCATTTAGGTGTTGTGCCACCGATGCCCCTTCCGCCATCCGCAAATTGAATAATCGCCTCATCAAATGAACTTTGTTTGAGGCCGATGACTTCTCGTACATACTGGAGAGAGCCGCCATAAGACCCGCCGTGGTCTTTTCCTTTGCTATGTTAAAAGCAACATTGCGGGATAACGTCAGTCGGATAACTCCGAGGGCTTGTCTGTCGAGAAGAGCCCAATCTTCATCCTTCATGCCCTCTGGTTGCTTTCCTGAGAGAGGTTGATATAGATTTTTCTGGTACAAAAAATCTTTAATCTGCATCTTCCAAAAGCCAAAGTCCGCACCATCGAACTTTTCAATTTTCACCTTCCCTTCGTCTGCAGCCATCGCTCCCACTCGAATCTGGCTTCGTTTGGATCGTTTCTGACAATTCTTGCGAATCACCGTGTATTAGAACACCACCGTCGACAAACTCGTATCGCCGACCGAATTTCACTATTCACGAAATTCACTATTCACGTGAATAGTAATGAATAGTAACCTCGCAGAAAATTTGACAAAATTCACAACCAAAAGCTCTGATTACCAGTTGTTAGGAAAATAAACTGAGTACAAGTAATTTCCCTATAACCAGATTAGTGAGAATGCGAAATAAAAGCGAAAAAATAATACCCGAAAATTGATAACGGAGTTCAGCCAATTGTGCTTACGTCTCCGGGCTGCTGCAAATCTTTTACTAAGAGAGAAAATTTACAGGTGTTTACAAAACACTCACTACTCACAAGAAAGCTCTCTAGTATAGGAAGAAAGAAATGTTTTGGGATGATTTTGAAGCTAAATGGGTAAGGGTATTTATAGTAGAAACTTAGGGACTAATCTTTGAAAATACCCTAAAGTGCAATGACTAAAGTGAATTTACCCATTCCTATTTTCAACAAACATCTACCAAAATTTTACCAAACTTTGAAAACATTTTTCAAAGAAACATTTACCAAACTTTAAAAAAACATTTTCCAAAATTGGTTGCCAAACTTTGAAACTTTTAACAATTAAAAGATAAGTGACCGACAATATAAAAGATATCTGCAAATCGAAAAAGGGTCAAAAATGCAGAATTTACAGTCAAGCATATGCTAAAAAGAGGTATATATGAAGCAGGGAACTTACATAAGAAAGCATGCACCAATGAATAACAATGAAATAGTACGGGGTTTGTACGCCCATGCAGTCCATGGATCTAAATCATTGACAGAACATGGAAAATTAGGATTTCCATTTTCTTGAACTTGATGATCCCTTCTCCTCAATCTCCTATGACCATTAGGTTCCATAGGCTCTCGGTGTTTAAACAATACAAACTTGCTCGCTGCAGGACAACGATATAAAATATCATTGGTAATATTTACTTGAGAAGTAAAACGACGATCTTTTGATTAACAGTAAGCAAATCTAGCATATATTACTGTAAATACACAAAGAGCTTACAAGAACTAAAAGTATTAAGATTTAAGAGACAATCTAGCATATATTATTGAACAAGCATAAAGGGCTCACCAGAACTAAAAGTATTAGGCCCAAAAGAGGGCATTGATAACTTAAGTGAATATGAAATTAAATAAATTCAATCACCAGAGCTATCATTAAAAGAACTTGTCTTATTATCCAACTTTAGGTAGAGCAACCGCAAAGTCTTAATATAAGCACAGAAGCATCTTCAACACAACATTTTAATAAAAACAAGTGGAAAAAGATGGAAAACTTTACCATAATATATGTCCTCCATTTGTCTATTTTTTTATTTAAAAAAAAGAAACTTTAGGGAAAGATTCACTTGAATCTGATATTATGATACAAGTCATCATTTAGTAAATATCATCAAATGATATACAGCTTTCTCTCGCTATATATAATTCTTAGGCTCTGATTGGTGGTAATGAAAATGTTTTAATCTAATAGTTGAGCTAAAACGTTGCACTTGTTATATAGCACAACCATTAATTGACACTTTCTCCTTTGATTTCTCTTTCTTCTCTTTTTACCACATGTAGTGTCAAGAACTTTGTAGGGAGTGTTTTTCGAGAAATGTTAGATACTACGGTATTTCAGAATGAGCAATGTTTACCTTAAAATTATATAAAGAGAATAGTTATCTCCCCATTAAGCCATGCTGGGTCAAGGGGAGAGCGTACAGCCACGATGTAAGCTCCAGGATAACCTAAACTCTTACATCATTTTTGTAGGTAAACTACACATACAAACCGCTTGTCACACAAACAAAGATCATAAAACTGAATTCACACCACTACAGTTGGTGTGTCGCAAAATCAGTTTTTTTTAATCATTTTCTCTAGGTGATGATTTGGCCACCATAAACGATACAAACATTGTGATGAGGCATTTAATTCGCAGGATTACGAAAGACAAGCCACATGTTTGGGCTGGAATATGCAAAATGCAAGACAAATTGTACACTACCCTAATTAAAGATGTAAGGGAATAACCAGTCAAGGATGAAAGGAAACGACTAAACCCTCCTAACTATGTTACTTGGACTTGGGTGGAGTGTCGGATACAATTATGTGTCCAGCACGGATATGTTCAATATGTTTTTCCATGCATTTGGAGGCTCTATAGAGAACCATCTCTCCATAGCCACGTCCAATATATATCAGACATGAGTACTTAAAAAAAAGTTTAAGCAAAATAGCTCCTTAAAGTTGTGAGTCCCTACAGCTTACCCAAGAATTGAAACTCACATTAGACACTAGTTCATATGATGTGGCAATCCACTTTCCTATAGAAGATGTGACAATCCACTTTCCTATAGAAGAAGTGATATTCTGCGTGATAATCTATCTACCACATAATAATTAATAAAATAGTTGCTTTATGATCTTTATAATATTCAAAGCTACTGGTCATTTCAACCATCAAAAAGAAAAAGTTTCCACGACAAGATAAAATGATCCAAACTTTAAGCTGCCTCTCAAAAACTTCTTTCGAGAAGAGGATTTTTCCGGGGACCATTACAGTGGATTTTAGCAGCAAGAACATTAAATAGTTTCCACATGAAACTAAGATAAAAACATTTTTTGGATCGTTACATCAAAACCCATAATGGCGATATCAAGTTCAGTCAGTGTCTAAATCGCTTTAAAACAGAATAATATTTGGCAAATAAGCATTATGAGGAACTATGCTTGCATTTATGTAATAGAAAAAATTAAAATGCAAACAAAAAAAACCTATAAAAGAGAAAAGTAAACAGCTTTACCATGATATCTAAGCTGAAAGCAATTGTTATATGTTTGAAGCAAAAATAAAGCCCATACATAACATTAGCATCAAATCTAAGCAGACTATAGAAAAGAGATCACTAAAGAAAATGAACATATGCAAATGACAACAACTATGCATTCCATCAACAAATCCCAAGTCAGGAAAAAACAAAAAGAAGAAGCTTTTGAGCAAAAGTAAAAACTTCGTTTACATGCAGATCATAGTTCAAAAGTATAAATAAAACCCATTAATCCTGTACAGTTGTTAAACCTTTTTTTCTTCTTTTATGAAGGAAAAAATACTGTAGGGTTTTAAGACAAAACAGTTTAAAACTCAAGCTGGAAGTTTTAGGAGGAAAAATAATCTAGTATACAATTCGAGAATAAAAGAACAGTTGCTTAACAATTAAGCTAATCAGGAAAAATAAAGAGTGGGTAAATAAATTTAACCCATACTGAAGAAGGAAAACACAAACAAATCTCAAAATGTTTCATTGCATGTAATTGGAATAGCAATAGAAAAAGAGAAACTCAAAAGGAAAAATAAATCTCAACCTCAAAAGAAAAAACAAAGGAAAGAACACTCACAGCGGATTGTTGAAAGAGCAGATTTGTGAACTGAAGAAGACGACGACGTAAAGGGCGAGAAGGAAAAAAAGAGTGCAAAGAAAGATTATTACTTATTAGTAGTAGTAGTAAAAGGAAATGATTGAATAAATTATATATAAGGAAAGGGAAGACTGAGAGATAATGAAAAAGTAGGCCTAAAAAGGCAAGCTCGTTTTAGCCCGTTGTGAGAGAGGTTTTAAAATTGAAAATAACAAAACATTTTGTTCAGTTTGAGGTTCTGGTCAGGTGGTGGAGACTGCAGTGTGGATATAGTCATATAGACTTTTTCCCGTGGGGGAAAGTCCTGACCGTACGATGGAACCGGCTCTAGATTAAAGCCCTCCGGTCGCTTCCAACCCCAAAAGACGAAGACGACACAAAAGAAGAAGAAGAAGAAGAAGAAAGAAGAAGAAGAGGATGGAGATTAATAAAAACGTACAAAAAAAGGGGGGGTGGAGGTTTGAGGAGAAAAAGAGAAGCAAAAAACACTTGAGAGAGGGGAAGTTTACTTGTTTGGTCAAACACCATTTAAAGATACGGAAACGGTGGGCGTTGTGACATATATATCACAATACGAGTATACGAGTATGAGTTTGAGAGAGAGAATATATTAATTTTTCCCTCCTTTATTTTCTTTATGGAAATAAAAACAGTTAATTTTATTGAGAAAAAATATTTAGAATTATAACAAGAATTTGTAAATAAAATTGTAAATTAAACATATGATTAACATATTTTTTATAACCATTAATATACAAAATTAATCACCTAGTATTATATAAGGATCGTATAAGAAAAAGATAACAAAACTCATCTAAAAAGAACTCGAACAATATATAGATACAAACCGATCTGATTACTACTACAAACGAACCACAACAAGATATTTAACTACTGAAATATCACCGATAAACATAAATTACAAAAACAACCAGCCCAGTGAATGGTCAACCAAGCTAGCCTTGCTCTATTAGATGAGGACTTGTCATCCAGTCAAAACTCATTACTTTTAATTTTAATGTGATCGTTAAATATTAATAGTGATGGATTTATAAATAATTTTATAAAATGATGAACACTTGTATATTAATAATATAATTTTTATATGTAAAGTGAATATAAGTAAAATTTTAAAATATGTATAATAAAAAAATAAATGATTATTAGAAGAAGAAAAAAATCAGAATATATTATTTTTCATAAATTTAACATCGCGGCTAAAAGTCACCATCTAGTAGTGCTCTTCAATCAACTCTTTCACCAACTTAAACCACTTCATTATCTTTTCAAAGTGTTGGAGTCCTACTCAAACACTAATTCTTAGTATCCACGACATATTTAAACATTATCATGATAGAACAGTTTTATCCACAACATGTTTAGATCACATGTCTTTAAACTTTTATTCAGTTTGGTCCTTTAAATCAATCATTTTTATTTAATCGAACCTCAAACTAATTAAAATCATGTACACGTTATATATTCAAAAACCATTTCAATTACCCCATGTGGACGCCATCGGCAAAGCTGCTGTTTTCAACTTCGAATACTGCAGCAGGAAGTGCCCAAATTCATATTTAAAGTAGACTTCAATATTCATTAATAACTTTATTTGAAATCAATGAATAATATTATTTTTCAAAGGTTAAAGCTTTTTATTAAGCAAAGAAAAGTTAATTTAGATAAAATTTAGAACTCTTATTTCGAATTGAAAATAAATTTGTGTATGTAAATGATGTTGATATCCTGCATGCTATGGACACCACTCGTTGTAGTAATCCAAGATAATAAATTTAGCACAAGAATAACAATTTATGCTCTTAGTACCAACCCAACAGCAAAATCAAATCTGAATTTAATGAAGCCCAAAGTATTTGCTTGAAAAGCTCATTGCATCTCTCATCCAGTCTGTCTCATTCCTCTCCTTTCATCATTATTAGTATTTGGATTCCACTGCAATATTCATGTCGCTTTTGGTGTTATCATCTTCTTATGATTACTAATATATAATTTATTATTTATTTATTTTAAATACAGTACGGTAAAAAATTATTGTGAGATGTCTCTTTCCAACCTTAAATTTTATTTAAAAGACTTGATTAATAGTTGATATTATTTAGGGTAAATTACACAAATGGTACTTTAATTATAGAATACTACTTTGTTAAGTCCTACAATTATTAAAAGTTACAAATTGATCCTCTGGTATAAGATGTATTGTTGAGTCATCGGCTATTAAAAATTATAAATAATCACCCAATTATTCATATGTTCCTAACTCATTATTTTCCGTTAAAAAATTAATGATCGTCTGAACTAAACATAAATCTGCCGACTGAGATATGATAAAATATGATCTTAAAATCTCAAACGATTACCATATCTCAGTCAACATGTTAACATTCAGCTCAAACTACCATTATTTTTTTAAATGAAAAATGATGATTTTAGAGCATAATGAATAGTCGAATGACCATTTTGTAACTTTTAATAATCGAAGGACTCGATAAAGTAACACCCTATAGTCGAAAGACTATTTTATAACTTTTAATAGTCGAGAGACTCAACAAACTAGTATCATATAATCGGAGGATCATTTATGTATTTTACCCTATAATTATAATCATTAAATTATAGTGCCGAGTTCTATGAATCAATGACCTTATTCAATTTTCTTGGCTTTAGATCTCACTGCTACCATACATGGTCCAACGAATAGCTTGGGCAGTCAAATTTAGAAAATAGTGGAAACTTTGATGAAAACATGAACCTGAAAATGGCTACAACACCACATCAAATTCCTGAAATTTACAATTTTTACACCAATCTAAAAAAATTAACTGAAATTTCCATCTCTACCATATAAAATGTTCATACGCCTACATAAAAACAAGCGAGAAAGCTAGAATGCATGGAAGATGCTCAATGGAGAGCTGAACTGAAGATGATGGTCTAAATTCGAGATGAAACTCAAAAGCCTAAAATTGACCATAATTCAAGATGATACAAACAATCTAAACTTAAAATGGAATTCAGTCTGAAATTGACCAAAACCAATAAACAAGCCTACCTTAGATATGAACCTGTTTCGTACAAAAGGCGCCAAGGGAAGTGATTTTTAAGGCATTTGGTTTTTCTACTTTCCCATGCAAATTTATTCAACCTCTCTAGTTTCAGGAGGCATGAAAATAAAAATGTAAAAACTTATCTAAAAGCAAGTAACCCTCGCGCAAAGTGCCATAGATAGCCAACCAAAAGTGCGAAAACTTTAAGTCATCTTAATAGGTATAGCCCTTAACAAACATTCCTTTCTTGGCTTCTTCACTTTCACCCTCAGCTGAGTATTTTCCGAGCTGAGCCAGAGAATTTGCCTTTGCACGCACCAGAAGAGCCTTTTGAGCAGCTTCAACGTTCTCAGGACGTCCTTGCCATGTCTTAAGCACAGTGTTTTGCAATGCACGTGCATATGAGAATGAAACGTGCCACGGGTTCGGGCTTTGGTTCATTCCGTGCAAGTTCAAGGTGGCTTCCACCTCAGACTGTCCTCCAGACAAAAACTGCAAGATAAACAAATGCATACACCTTTTTATTAATCACAGCTTCTCTAAATAGACCAAAGGTGTATATCAAGATGCTTTAAGAATCAAGATGTACGAGCTTGCATGACGAAACTTATAAAACTAAAGGCTTTGATGTGAATAAGTGTTTTTAGGTACCATGATTCCTGGAACGGCTGGTGGAACTCTCCTCTTCAGCATAGTGAGTGTATATTTGGCAATAGTCTCAGGCGAAGCCTTCTCTTTGTGTTCAGCCCCCGGGGTTACCATGCTTGGCTTGAGTAAGATGCCCTCAAATATAACATTATTCTCAGCCAGGTAGTAAAAGACTTCTGCCCAGACTTTCTCAGCTACTTCAAGGGTCCTCTCAATAGGGTGGTCACCATCAAGAAGAATCTCAGGTTCCACGATTGGCACAAGACCATTGTCCTGGATATTAATTCACATTAACATACAATTGAGCTCGATATAAAAATCGCCTACAACATAAAATAAGAGAAATTACCAAGCTAAGCTACCCAAGCCAAAACAGAACTCATGCCAGAATTTAAGAACAGTCGAAAATTAATCTAATTTCCATTCACAGAATTCCAAGAACTTCGATTTTGAGTAGAGAAATAATGAGCCTTGCATTTGTTTTAGGGAGTTACAAGAAACTGATATAATATAACAATACCTGAGATATGGCAGCATAACGTGCAAGTCCCCATGCAGCTTCCTTGACGGCCAGAGCAGAAGGACCACAAGGAATGCTAACGACTGTTCTCCTGAGTATTTCAATAATACCCCATTTTATGAATGAGAACCGCTATACATGTGTATAAATAAATGTATATATACATGTGTGTATGTATGTATATATACATATATATAAACCAACCAGACTTTTCATTTGAACTTCACAAGGCACAAGTTAACTAGGTAAAACAGACTTACCACTTGGCAAACCGAGCACCTTGTTTGTAGTACTCAGCGGATCTTGATGACAATCCATCCAAACCTTGACACCAAGATTCGTTGTTTGAACCAGGTAGAGGAACCAAACCCTAAAATACAGGATAATGTAAAAGATTGAATTAATGAGCACCAACAAAAAGAATTCTCAAGTCGTATACATGTGGAAATTCAGCAGTGTTACCTTATCTACTTTGATGCCGGGCACGATTTTCTGGTCATGCAAGACATCAACAAATTTCTTCCCATCAGTTGTTGACTGGTAAAGTGTTTCTTCAAAAAGAATGGCACCAGAAATATATTCTCCAAGGCCAGGAGTTGTGAGAAGAAGCTGTCTGTATGCCTGCCGGTTGGGTTCGGTATTGTCTAAGCCAATAGAAGATAATCTCTTTCCACATGTTGCATTTGATTCATCGATAGCCAGGATTCCACGGCCAGGTGATGCAATAGTTTTCTACACCATTGAAAGAAACAAATAACAAAAGTATCAGTCTTCTCCACCAAGCTGGCCAGTTCACAAGATTTCTCATACAGTTCTTCATTCATGGATTTAAATTAAAATTGCGAATCGGTCAACGGCCTTTATCCCAGTTGCAAATGTAACAAATATTAGTGTGGTTAATCTGGGTAAACATCAACGGTTAACATAGAAGGTAAAATCGTAACATTGTGTTACAGCAGGTTATTCAAATCCATGTCTCCATCAAGCATCAATGAAAAATCACATTCTATAATGTCAGACGGCAAACAATTTACAAGTAAAAACTAAATTCCAATTCAAAGATTAAAGAAAAACAATTGTATATAAGGCGATCATAATCTTTTCATGTCAATCGATCTATTTTTAGCCCAAAACAAATCTAATAAAACGTCACATGAAATCTTTGAAAGCTGAGAAAGGAAAGCAAAACAGAGATTAATGAAAA